GCAGGCAAAAATATATATCCTTGACTTTACAGGTTATGAAATATTGAGCCCATTAACCTCACTACAGTAGGATCCCCATCAAATGAAAACTGCTCAACAGTGCCTCCTAAAACCTCCAGAGGAACAACTGGCTTAAATGATCCCATCTGATTGGGCCTGAAAGTTAACAGCACATCTAACGACTTTCCTGGATTAATATGAGCTTGTGATGGTGAAGAATGGAAGTGTGCTGTTGAGTGTAGGGAAAATATCAATGGCAAGCTGGCTGATTCATTGTTTACAGTGCACAGTGCATCAACTTGTTCACCAACTGAACATTCTCCAAACTTGAACACAGGACTGGGTGAGATAGAGAGCAGCACAGGCAAAGCTGTTCCTAAGACAGCAACTTCAACTCTAGATCCTGAAAATCATTGTGATGAAAAATGAGTAGGAGTTTACAAAAATTAGACAATTAACAACTTTGGCAAATGCAATCACTCATAAACAGAGAAAGGAGAAGGGGCACTTGATACAAATTTTGGCCAAAATGGGAGGGGCACGTAATCAAAGAGATGACACTAATTTGAGTGGAGATTCTAATCCAAGGATTTAGAGTGCATTAAATTATCAATATGTATAGGCAAAAATGATATGTATTGCAGGTGCTAAAAAAACCAAAAACAGGACACCAAACAAATGCCATACAAGAAACAAGTGAACAGCCAATCAAGACAAGTTTTTTTTAACAATAAACTTTTCAATCCTGGCAATATTAAACCTATGATTTTTAATTCATTCTTCTCACCTCCATTGCCACTACCACCTCCAGAAACACTGCCAACAGTCTCTATATGCATAAAAAGAGTGTAATCTTTCCTTGGGGGAGGTTGATCACTAGCCTTCCATCCTTCCCTGGATTTTGTGTATCTTGGACTAAATCTGAAGTGAATCTCTCTTTTTTCTTGTGGATAAAGGATCCCCTGGCTCGGTAAGGCAGTCACCAGTGTTGTCAAGTCATTAGCATTTCCCAGTTCTTGAGCACTTGTTTGAGAAAGTAACATTGCTGTAGCGCTCTTGGTCAAGTCCACCCCCTGAAAGACAGACATGTAGAATGATGCCAGACAGTATACCAATATAAGCAACATTGAATTTTTCTGTAAAACTTCTTGAAAGTTCACACTCCTCTCTTATCAAATACAAGGAAAAAAACTTCCCTAATTCTCCATGTGCTGTCCACTCAACCAATGTCATATCCACTAATAATGACTTCCTCCTCACACCCACTCCACCCAAAAAATTGAAGTTTATCAAAGTATATGCATTCACATTGCTATCCATCTTTTACTTCTAGCTCATGATAGTACTTCATATTTATCTCTCTATTTAATAATGTGTATTATTAACTGTACATCCCCTCATGGATAGTGGTTCTTTCTGTCCCCACTCCCAAAAGGGTATCACATACCAGTTCCTGTCCCTCTCCACCCTCTTCCAATATAACAACAAAATTAGCAACATCTGGGCCATTGTTATAAATAAGAAATGACTGAGTCTGGTCAGTCCCATAATATGTTGAGCCAAAGTTTATTGTTTCAATTTTTTCTTCTGTATCCAAAGTCAACAACTCCAGAGACCGCTCCACTACATTCCCAATGATTTGAAGAGTTGTTGGAGATTGGCCTTCCAGTTTGACTCTGCAGAGTAAAAGCAAATTTTTGACTGATCACTAGAGGTTTGATGCAATGAGTTGTGAAATAAGTTAATATGTTCTTTGGTTGGCTCCTTACACTTTGTTTAAAGGTCTCTAACTAATGATAATCATTTGATGCAAAACAATAAAAAAGCTGTTAGTATTCACTTACTGTGCGTCTTCATTTAGCTCCCCTGGAGTCTTGCTTATAAATTCAACCTTAGCAAAATGAACTATAATTAGGTACAAACAAGATCGAGCTAAAAATGGTTTAAAGTGAGCTGAAGGAGATAGGTTAAGAACCACAACTGAAATAGCTTTATCTGTGCAATAGAGGGAATCCTGAAGAGAAGGGAAAGCAGCCCTATTCTCTGCTAAGGAGAAAAAGAACAAAGACAATGATCATATGATACCTGACCACAATCAAGTATTATTGTGATTTAATTCTATTGAACATCAAATCTGGCAGTGCTCTGTTCAGTTATTCCTTGAACTCTTTTAGCTAAGTCCATTTTCCTGTTCCAAAATACTTTTAGTGACTCTATATTTAACGGTTAAACTCACCTTGACAAACTGTCTTGCTCCTGGCTTAATAATGCCACCTGATGGCATAATTGTGATTGGCTGGTTGCCACTGTACCTTATTTTAAACTCTCCTGTCAATGATCCCTCATTTGTTATATAAATTTCACGCATTAAGACTTTACCATCAGCTACTGTCACACCAAAATCTGCTGGACCACTCAGTTCCAGCTGTGGACCAGGTGTATATCTATGATCGATAGTAAATTAATACCCTGTCAGCAATAGGAAGTCACACTCAACCTACTGCAACAATTAAAATTCACATAAAAGTTCCAAGTCTCTACTGTGGGAAACAGTAACCTTAATTACGTGTGACACCAAAATATAAAAAATACACTTTGAAATATGTAATATTAGTTTGGTTCAGCTTTTTAAGTTCAATAAAGGACACTCTACTGTAAACACTAATGATTACATATCATTTAGTCACAGGCAATCAAGGAAAAGTCATCAGTTTAAACTCTATAAACCATTTTGCCATACATATATCTTTAAGTATTCTTTTTGGCACAGATATATTGACACAATTATAACAGTTTACTGTCATCAGTAGTTGAACTTGACTCGATAAATACTTTTAAGAAAGCTCTAAAATCAACATTATTTAATAACTAGGCCTATAAGTATGAAATTATATCATTCTATATATTATACATCATTTAATTATTCATCATTTCAACAGAATTATTATCTTAGATATATCTTCTTTACTTAGATTTTATACTTAGTACATAGATATATGCTTGTATGTAAAATGTTTCAGTGGGTATATTTATATTGCATAGTAATATATAGATTTAGCCAAGCCTAAAAGCGGAGCTTGCATTTTTTTTTTCCCACACAACTTGTCCCGGCCAGGACTAGAACCCAGGTCGTCTGACTCGGAGCCCAGTGCACTGACCACTGGACTACTGAACAAAGCCGTGGTGTTGGCGTGCCCGCGGTACAGTTGACCACGCATGTCAAAAGTAGCACCTTGTGCAGTTGTACGGTCGTATGGTCATACAGTCGTACAGTCGTACATCCAAATTTTCTCGGCTTGATGGGTTACTACTATTTTGTATAATTATGGGGCTATGCTCTGTGAGCTCCGCTATTAAATATTTATATCTGGGGCATAGTTTATTATGAGGATTAAGTTCCTTCCTTCTATAAACCTTTTGAATAATAATAATATATTATATATGTTATTATTTAAATAAAGTTGTTATAAAAAATAAAAAGTACTTTGAGAAAAAGTGTGATGCACTGGTATGTACCATTGAATGAGCTAAAAAGAAGGGGTGCTTAGTTTAAGGAGGGCACTTGATCGATGGGAGGTGCTTATATAGTTAGCAGAGCTATAGGACAAAGATTAAAAGAACAGTCACTGCACAAAAAGGAACTCTGCAAGCACATGGAGAGAGAAATAATTGGGATGGAAAAGAAACTATTCATCTGCACCGTTTGAAGTTTAATAGTTGTAAATTATGTGGCAATAGAAACAGGTTTTCCTTGCATCCCTACTACTTAAAATGGTGAGGGAGGAGGGGACACTTATTTGTAGGGGAGGTACTTGTTTGACATTGTGGCCTCAGGGCTGGGCACTTATACAAGGAGAGGGCACTAATTTGGGGAAGGGTGCTTATTAGGGTGTGGGTGCTTATTTTAAGAAATATACAATTTGTCACCTACATCATCAGTGGTCCTAAAGTCATTTCTTTCCATAAATTAACAAATTAAAATGTGCATACTAATCTTGATGAAATACTCACGCAACAAGAGGAATCTCCACAACATCATTATCAACCACTAGTATAACTCTGTCCTGTGCATCTTCACCTTTAGTAGTGTAGTATTCAACCAAAGCTGATACTTCTAGCCCTGGTGCAATGGCATGGTCTGGATTCCTTACTTTTAATCTGAAACTCTTTTAAATGATAAAAGAGAGACAATAATGAACGATCAGTTCCATATCGGTGATGATGACAACCGTAAAAATTATCAAAAATCAGTTGTACCCTCATCGTCGTCATTATTTACAAGGATGATAAGAATTATGTTTGAACCTATATTTAGATGAGCCATTATTTTCAATACTATCCCCTCACCTTCCGCGGATGGAAAAACTGACCAGAAAGAAATGCACCATGTGATTTAACCTTAAATGTAAGCTGCTACCAAAACGACAAAACAAGTTCTGAAAAGTACCACAATCTACATTTCGTACACAAAATTGCGCTTTATTATTGCCTCAAAATGAATATCTAGTTTTTGCAAAATTTTTCCTCTCGTCTCTATTATCCAAAATTTGACCAGTCTCTTACATTTGACGCAGGCCCGTGAAATCGGAGGCTCTTCGATGTCTTGCTCAAGTTTTGAACTGTCAGTGTCATCTGGTGAACAACGTCCGATTCAGCATCGAAAAATTCCACCACAGGGGGGACAATTCGTACTCCTGCCACAGTTCCCTCCATAGCTTATGGCTTGACTCAAATTCTATCGTATTTTCCAACTCATTTTATACTCAAGACAGACAAATTTCTCCATTACAACTCATATTATCTTTAACTTTAATTAGCCGCCATTTTGATTAACACTACAGCTTTCGTTGCATAGAAACAAGCAGAAACCTGGGGAAATAAAACACGAATTCTAATTGGTCATATTTTCCGATAAGAAGGTTTATCCAATCAGAATTCGTGTGTTACCCAGGTTCCCACGATCCTTTGTGAAATCCTACGGGCTCGTCGGAAATGCCATAGCATTGCTAACCAGTAAACTCTGCGTGACTCAGTGCCTTGCAATATGCTTGTGGCGCCAAAGAATTCATATGAGAGGTACTTATTCAAATTTTGCGATCAATCTTTGGACAAAAGTGACTTGCAACGAACGCACGGGTACTTGTGCACGCGGAAAACTACGTAGCACCAGTTAAAGCCACTTTTTGATCGTTTTTACGTGTGTTGCTCGACTTAGTGCTGACATATATGTTTGTCGAGAAACTTTACACCAGCAAAAAGATACGTTTTGAGCGTTTGTTTTGTGCAAAGATGTGATACGATTACAAACGGAAGGGAATTATCCAGCGGATTTGAACAATAATTGTCTCTCAATGGGATGTCCACGTGGTCAGCAATTATAAACAACCACCTGTTGCATGATACGTGTGAATACATTAGTGCGGCCGGCTCTGGACATGAATGGGTCGCGAATGAATGAATGTTACAAACCAAACCAAGACAACTATATCCTCGACTTTCTCGAACTCTCAGGTGAGTTCATGATAGGAAATTTAGTTGCAGTGTAAATTTCTTCGCCCGAAGCTTGTTGTTTGTCGGTTTAGACGTTATTTTTCTTAAGATGGTTTTTCCCTGACTAAATGCTTTGTTGTACACGCTTGTAAAAGGTGTGTCGGTCAGGACGACTGTAAACTCGTTCTTGGCGACTTTAAACATAAACCTGAGCAAACAACATAAATCGTACGGGTATTATTTAATGTAAAAGTTACCTTTGAATTATGTAGTTGTGAAGTTTGAACCTACTAAGATTTGTTGGCTGTCTTGCAAGGCGTTTCATTTGCGGAAGTGGTGTGAGTTGTGTACAAGCTATCGGTAGATATTCATCGAGAGTATTTATATAGTCTGTTGCATTTGCCAGAAAGGAGGTTAACAGGGACTTCTTTTCTTTCCGTTTTCCTATCTCTAAGATTAACGTCAATTTTTCCTTGTCATCGTCCATGGGGTCGATGTTTCTTGCGGGTAATAATCTTTTCCCTTTTCCGACAGTCTGGTGAAACATAGTGCATTTAAATAATACTTTCTGTTCAAAATATTCCTTTCACTTTCTTTGTCGGCTCGATCTCTTTTGTAATCTGCGTTACTTGAAAAAACTTTCGCACCACTGAAAGTCAAATTTATCTTGTTCCGCCACGAAAGTGAAAATGTGATTTGCACATTGCACTGCGGTTCACTTAATGTGATAATGGATCGTAATCCAGCACATCTGGAAGCCATAGCCGAAAAGTTTTCATCCTTTTAGTGGATAAGATCTCCCAATTTTGGGTAAACTCAGGCCAGATACGTTTCTTTTGACAGGTGCAATCTGGAATGTACATGCTTGGATAAAACACGAGGGGACAATGAGACGAGACTTGAACCGATTTCATCAACATACATTTTCTGTCTCCCTCATCAAAGTAAGAGTTTGAGTAGAAAATTTATACTTAACACGTAAAATTCGTTTATTTTTAGAACCAATGAGAACTTAAGTAAAGGATACTTGAAATGTTGTCAACATATGTATTAATTATCAACTGCCTTTCTTAAAATATTGATTAACATAATTTTATAACTTAGCACATATCAAAGCAGAAAGTTTTTAACATAAGTTTGTTTCTTAGATAAGGAAATGTTCGATTTACCTTGCATGCAAAAAGGAAAGAGAGAACTTTATTTAAAATTTGATAAATCTAAGTTTAAGTTCAGGATACCTCTGTGAGCATGTTTTATTTTCAGTGCACACATTTTGTTTAAAATGGTGCTAGCAATGCTTTCAGTATTTTTGGTGTGTTTCATTTGGTCCAATTTGGGTACAGTAATCTAGAATATATTTCTGCCTAGTGATTTAATGATCATGAGGCATGTTTCCTTCTTTCCGTTTACAGTTTTGAGAGTTTTCTTTTGTTGTCTTCATTCCTAAATTTTGACACCTGTTGAATGTAGCTACCTGAAACTGAGATACAAAAAGCAGCTTTCCAGAATGAATTTTTCCTCTTGTTTAGATAACTGCAGGGTTAAAGGCTCTTGCTACCTTTAGAGAGAGACTGAAACATGCAGTAAATTGGGTCAATTTTGATAAACAAAAAGCAGAGCTCCACCTAATACTGAATATTTACAAGAGGAAGTGCATATTGAGTTTCTGACTCCACATCAGCTCTTATTTCAAGGGGATGGATGAAAATATTAAAATTGTTCTGCAGTCTTGTGGTATACAGAGTATATGTATAGAGGAATATTTCTTGAAAGAAAATGGTGTTGTGTGGACAAGTGAAGAAAATTTTGTTCAAACTATAATTTCTACAGTAATTTGCCCTTAAGTTAAGTAAAACTGTTCAGTCCTAAAATTAAAGACAGTGAATGCTTTAGTGCTACTAAGAAATGCTCTGTATTATAGAAAATTGAATTGTTTTAATGGTTCAATTTTGAATGATTTGGTTTTGTTACAAAATGAAGCAACAGGTGGATGTTGCTAAAGTTTGTCATAAATTATGGAAGTATAAGAGACACACTTCAAAATGTGATAAGTGATATAAACTTCTCTGTCTTGAAATTTTCCCACAGTATAAAATCTATCATCGGACAAATAATTAATCCTGAGTGGTTTAGATGGAACATTAAAGAGTGAGCATGTGAACAAGAACAACATAAATTTGATAATCATACTTCTATGGATGGCTAGGGTGAATTGATTTCTTTTATAGAGGGAGGGGAAGTTGAGAAATTCTTATCTATCCCAAAGCTCTCCTTCTAGATTATTAAATAATAATGAAAATAATATTTTTATTTACTTTCAGAAAGTTAAAATATAACCCACAAAGAAGTGGTCATTGAAACTCAAATATGCTGAAAGATTATTATGTAAGTAAAAATATTACGATATTAATGATACCAACTCTAATAATGATAATAATGATAAACTAAGATGATAAAGTCTTAGTTCAATACAAGATAGAAATTCACATTTTAAATTACAAAAGCTACAAAAGAAAAAGGAGGAAATGGAAAAAAATATTACATAACTTGTTAGTTCCTTTCAATGCTTTGTCAAGTAAACTGATGAAAAAGTGATTTATTGTTAATTAGGCAGCTTCTATGTTGAACAACAAAATTGTGTAAAACATTTTACTAGAGTCCCTTGATGAAAGTGCCTCAATAAAAATATAAAGATTTTAGCCTTTAAGTTTGTACTTACAAACATTTATATTTTTAAGCCTTCCTCTGGACTACACCTTTAGAACCAATGTTGTTAAAAAAAAAAATTAAATGTGTAAAGAAATTCTTGGATATTGGAAAAAGCCAGATTTACCTCCAGTTTCTCCATCAAGTTTCTTAAAGACCAAATTGATTCAATCACTGTGGTATTGGATTTGTTTGGAATAATTTTTTTTTTCAGTCTGAACATGTTCGTGGGAAAAAAGGTGTGCTTTAAAGTGAAAAATTTTTTTAATTATATATTTCTTGCCTGCAAAAAAGTGCAAAGGGCATTTGTGTGAGAGCATTAATCAAAGAGTAGTGTTGTTTGATTTGCCCACTCATGGGAAGGTTTGGTTTTTTGTTTTTCTGTTTGTTTTGTTTTGTTTTATTTTGTTTTATTTCTTTTTTTTTTTTGGGGGGGGGGGGGGTTGAGATTGCTGGCTTAAATATATCTTGGGATCTCAAAAAGGTTCAAGCATTTACATATGAAATTATAAACCATGCGCCAGTTCCTGGAAGGATTAAGGTGAATGATAATGAACACAAAAAAGGTACAGGCATCTGACTGGCTGAAAAAAAGTGCATTCTCATGTAATGCAAGTGCACAGTTGTAACACCCCAAGTGCAAAGTTGTAACATGAGTGCAAAGTTGTACCACAAGTGCAAATTACAAATAGCATGTGCATGCTTTCAAAATTTTGTATGTCTTGTCTTCTCTGAGATGTTTTTTCATCTAAATTATTAACAAGTAATACCATGACTTCTCTTGCAATTTAGGGTAAAAAACACTGGTATTGTAAATTTTTCAAAGACGGACTTGTGCAATTTTGTTGTCTTTGAAAAATTTACTTGTGCTTCTTAACACCAAATTGCACTTGAAATCATGTTTACTTATTACCTATAATTATAGTTCCAACAATTATTGAAGTTCATATGGAGTCTCCATGGAAACCCCTCATTAGAATGTTCAATTTTTACCAATTTATATTTGAGTTCACACTGTTAAATCATACATTTTGAATACTTTTCTTAATTCACATTGTTTTAATTTTACATTTTTAACTTCAAAAGATTGTCTATGGTTAGTTTTTAGTAATATGGCAAGTAAAAGTCAAAAGCTAGCAACAACATCAGTATATAATGAACAATATTAAAATTAAATTTCAGAGTTTTCACTGGCTCAGCCATCATGGGTTATGAGCCATTACACTATGCATGCATGCGCATGAAGACGAGTTAAGTGTTGGGTTTGCACACTAACATTACTAAGTGAATAGTGAAAGATAACAGACATGGTTTGATGCTACTCTGGTTTAAAGATTTAATGAATGTTACTGAGAAGTTACAATTCATAGACTCAACGTTTGGACACTCCTGTCTAGTGCCTTCATCAGGGGTGGTCTAAACGCTGCAACAAGTGGTCCTTTTATACGCTCACTAATTAGCTGCCTTTTTTCTGACGAGGTATAAATAGGCGTCAGGAAGTAAGCCGCCATCATCACGATTTAAAGGAGCGTGGGCGGAGTTAATATGCTAGTTTCCTGCGAATTTGTTTGGAAGCCTGGCATATTAACTCCTCCCACGCTCCTTTAAATCGTGATGATGGCGGCTTACTTCCTGACGCCTATATAAACCTCGTCAGAAAAAATGCAGCTAATAAGTGAGCGTATACTAACTTCGCGGTGACATTCATTAAATCTTTAAACCAGAGTAGCATCAAACCATGTCTCGTTCTCCACCTGGTTGCCATGTGAACTTTAAGATGTTTTAAAGAGAAAGATATTTTTCGTCTTGTCCTGAACATGAAAATGAACTTCGTAATAGACCTCGCTTACTGTAGAGTCTCTGTGGCTCAGTGGTAAAGCATCGGAGCGCGGAATCCGAAGGTCCGAGGCTCGATTCCTCATGGGGACTCAGAATTTTTTCTTAGTCCCATGCTCGTGACAAGACGAAAAATAACTTTCACTATTTCTTACCGAGCTCAAAACTTACCATCTTTCTTATTCTATTTATTACTTAGTAAAGTTGGGAAGATTTATCAATATTTTAGGGGGTTATCACAAAACATTTTTCCCCTTGCGTTTGTTGGATATGAGATGAAATCGGCCCGTTTTATCTCATATCCGAAGTGTGCTTGTTGAATAATTGAGAAACATACTGTTGAATATTATTTCTATCATGCTGTAGATAGTACAGCATACAAGTATGGCGTAACATGGAGTCTTACCGACCACTACTGTGTGGTGTTGATTGCAATTTAGGGCCTAGGAATGTTTAATTTGTGTTTGTTTTAGTTTGAAGATTTGGAGGTGTTGTCCCACACGGCTCGTGAAGTGTGGTTAGCAGAACAGTGCTCAGCCTTTGAAACACAAATACAGAAATTGTCACGTGAAAGAGAAAAGGACCATTTTCTTGAGGAGCTCTATCGCAAGCTGAAACAAGTGACGCGCCGTTGGCAGTTGTGGAATCATAAATCTTTTGGAGGTGTTACTTCCAGGGGGTTTGTTACGCTTTTCTTTGACATAATTTTTTTCATTTTATTTTATACTAAAATTAAGAGGTACTTATATCAGAGGAAGTTGCATCGTCATTAAAATTGGCACATACTTGTTTCGACAGCTTCTGTGACCTCCTCAAAAACTACTTTGTATATCATAAGTGTGATTGCGCTCATTTTCCTATTTCTTTATTGATTTCCTTGTTCTTTCTTTTGATTGGTCTGTGATTGTGTATGATGTCATTTGACAGATATGTGTCTGAGTTGGCCTCTTGGGAGAGGAATGTTCAACTTCGTGGAGTGTTGGTACCTAAAAGTCAATCAAATTTACGCGACTCCAACGTGCTTCCACGGTTTGATGAACTCTGCGTTCATTTCGAGAATCTCCTCGAAAGTTTCAAACAAGGCATCTATCAGCCACTTTCTGACTTTTTTCAAAATGAAAAAGTACTTTGTCATCTTAAAAGTGTTCCCAGAGACTTAGAGAAACTTTTGAATCAATGGCATCTTCTTCTTACGTCTGGTGTTATCGACGAGAGGTTATTCAGCCCGACTAGTGCCGAAGGACTTTACCCTATAGGAATACGAAACCGATTACACGACTTTGATCTCGTGTTACGACTTATTCCCGACCTAACAGAAAAAGCTTACGAAGCGTTGCGACTCGCCCGTCGGTGGAGGTTGATTGGAAAGACCTCTGCTGTCCAGCGAGATGAAACTTACATTATTTCTAGAGAACAGACAGCTAGGTTGCAAAAGCGTCGCACATCCAAAAGATTGAAAAAAGTGAATACTTTGGAAGAGGAAGTAGAGCAGTCTAAAGCACAGTGCCTCTCTCTTGAAGAGGAACTTAACAAGTCCAATACTAAATATCAGGAAATTGAGAAAGTGGTCACTGCTTACCGACAGCAATGCAATCAGCTGGAAAACGAGCTTGATGTCGTGAAAAGAAGATGTGAATCGCTGAAAGAAAAGCTAGAAAACTCCAAAAAAGAAAAGCGAAGCACGGGTAATGAGATAGAGAGCTCTCAGGAGCATTGTCGTGTCTTACAACAAGAACTAAACACTGCTAGACTCAAGTATTGTACACAGAAAGTGAAATTTATTAATACCAAGAAACGATGCGTTCAACTGACAAATCAACTGAATGCAACCCGAGAACAGATGACACAACTGGAATGTGAACTAGAGGCGAGGAAGAAACAGTGCCAGGCACTACAAGTTAAACTGGAAAATTCCAAGAAAAACATTTTTACTCAAGGTAACATGCTGGATGTACTACAGAACCAGTGTTACATGCTAAAAGAAGAGTTAGACGGAACAAAATCCAAGTGTTTAAAGTTAACATGTGAACTGGAGAAATCTCAGGACAGATGTTCTACTCTGGAGAGAAACATGAACGGGTTAAAAGAGCAGTTCCAAACTCTAGAGATCGAGCTTAGGAGAGCAAAGACACGAGAAGAACTGTTAGTTCAACAGAATACACAGTTAAGAAAACTCTTTCAAGGTTTGTGTCAAGGAAGGGTGGTTACTTTAATTTGTCTTAGTGATTTATTAATCAACATATTAGCTTTTCTCTTTGTCGTCACTGTCCATTGTGCTAAGTACAGAACCTGACGGTAATAAGGTCCCTACAGGCCGGCAGATGTTGCAGCACTTTGTGACTTTTGTGGCTTCTCTCAGTTCAGACGCTCCACTCAGGTTCTTTCCTTAGAATCCGTTTTCCTTATGCTCCTCACGGGTTCAGGCGAGGGCAAACCTGTTATTATAACAACGGAAATTATTAACATTTACCTTACTTCACCTTACCTAACCTAACCTAACCACCATGATCATCATGCATAAGTAAAACATGTTGATGGTGAAATGAAACAACATATTTACATGACACACAGTGAGGTTACGAACCTCAGTTTAGTGGTCAGAAGTCAAACTTGGTCATCTCTGAGGTATTCATAGTTAATAGTCATCCATTTGATGAGTTGGGAAAATTACCCTTAGATGATGCAAACATGAAAGCGAAAAAATAATGATAAAAATTTGTCACGAACATTTATTTCTGTGTTTTATAAGGCGTTTACAGGTACTGCTGTGAAATACGTCATGGATATGGTTACAAGTAAGGTAAATCAATGCCTCTATGAGACTGCAAAGCCAGATGAATGAAGCTAATGAAAGTGAATCATGATTTTACTCTTTATAGATAACGGATTACAAGAACCTAGCTTGTTAAAGGTCAATTTACACACACCAGACACAGGTACATGGATGTATTTCACATTTCATATGTACTTCTGAGATTATAGTACTGATGAAGTTATAGTCCTGCTATGGTTAGTGTCCTGCTGAGGTTATAGTACTGATGAGGTTATAGTACCGCTGAAAGTATAGTCCTGATGAGGTTATAGTACTGCTGAGGTTTTTGTACTGCTGATTTTTTTATTCCTGCGGAGGTTATATCACTCCAAGGTGAAATATGATGATTATGACCTCTACTCAGGGTGGGTGGATGTGCATGTTTGTTTGTTAGTCATCCTTTACCTCACCTTGTTTGCAGGGCTGTGTACAATAGAGCAGGTACTAAGACATTAAATGTATTTGTTTCTATGTATGTTTTTTTCAGGCCCCACCTGACAAGCAATCAGAAGAGACTGTGATCAGTTGAGATCATTCTCAACTTTACAACTTGATCCAATTTCTTAATAAAAGAGTTATTCTCTTCAAAGGACAATCGATGTTTAATAAATCAAAAGCCGTAATGGACGAAATCCATATTTACAAATTCAACCACGACAGACATAGATTCTCACAGTAAACTCATAACCAGTCTCTGGAGACGTCGCTCACTTGCGAGCAGTCTTGGATGTCTATAGACACAGCAGCCACTGCTAAATGAATAGCCGCTAGATTTTATCTTCAACGGGACTATCACTTCAAAAATGTTTCTTGTGTTTTATACAGCACCCAAAAAAATTTGGTCTCGAAATACAGATTATTGGGAGAGTAAAGATAGCATTCAAAATTTTTCAAAAAAACACATTTTAATTTAATAAGCTAGTGAGATTAATACACTGTACGCTGTATGTCTTAAGTTATCTAAATAGTAGATATAAGATTAGTTCTTAGGTAATGTATATGGATTGTAGAATATGGTAAGTTAAATCGAAATATTTCAACCTTATACAGTCTGTACTGATAAGAGCTTTGGACAACCTCGGGCAAATTATTTAAAGAATAGTATTTTAAAAGACATGTATTGGACAATAAATATATAATTGAAAAAAAATTAAAGTTAATGAAGAAATTAGAGGTTTGATGAATAGAAGTTTTGAAGATCGACTTTTAAATAAAACGCACAGCATAAAACTCGAGAAAATGGCACAGTATGTTAGAGCTGGCGAGTTGAAGGTGGGAACAGACAGCAAATCTTGAATGTAAAAGAAGGTTATAGGTGCTGTCCAAAACAGGCCCAGTTTCGGTGAAATGTTGGACTAAAAACAGGAATTAGCTCCATTTCTTATCGACTCGTGATAGATTTCAACGTTGTCGACCTCACAACCGCTTCACTGGCAAAAACGCATTGTTGAATATCTCCACGAAGTATTAAGGCCTTTTTAAAGTTTTTGATGTAATTTCTTTTTTGCTAGAAGTGAAATCAAACATGATTTAAAGTGTAGTTCATCCCACATCAAGAGAACTCGTGGTTCGCAGACTAAAGCCATGATTATTCCCTAAATTTTGGCAGTTCTCGTAATTTGAGTCGCGAAATCTCGAGTGTCTTTTCCATGAACATTCCTTACTTTTCTGATGACCAAATTACTTGGGATCGAGGCCGTTGCGTCACACGTCTGCCGTTATAAGTGAAGTTTGTCTTGAGTTCAGCTTTCTTCTGTTACCACCGCTGGTCAACATGTTCGACTGAACGATCTCTTTGAATCGGGAACAAGGCGAAGTCCTTTGTCTTTCAGTCCACCAGTCAGCGGCTACTTCCAGTTCTTGTTGCAAATCTTTGACATATGAGGCGGGCGAAACTTTTATGTAGTACGAAAACTAAACAAGAAGAGAAAACTCGAGATAAATACTTCCTTTAACCTGGTCATTCCAACGTAAAAGAATCGTTGGAGCCAATAATAGTCGACTACCCTGATAAAATAACACGGTCAAAAAATCGAAACTGGAACCAGCAATTAAAAATTTCATTGTCTTCAACTCTTTATTACCAAATACTTTCATGGTGCCAGTTAACAGTGCCGTCGCTTCAATGATAGAAAATCAGGCCTCGGTTGTTCAAAGGTTGATTAACTCTAACAACTGAACAAATCTCTATTCACTGGATAGCGCGGTACGTTTACTATCACTTATCTGCTGGATAGTGATTTATACGTAGGATAGTGTTATCCACCCTTTATACAACTGGACCCAGGAAATGACCTTAAGCACTTCCTCAACACTTCACGGTATCGATTACTAAAGAAAAAACAAACCACGTGCTTAGTGAAGCTGAGTCATTCTGTGAACATACTTCTTTCTGAGAGAACTTCAATTGCAGCACACAATGTTCTTGTTTGTTTACTGTGGCCTGATCCAAGCGCAGCACAAGTAAAGGGGCGTCCTCCTGAAGAAGAACGCAAGTGTGATTGGCTAATCACTTACTGAAGTAATCGTCTAGTTTCAAGACATTCCTACAAGAAAAGAAAATCTCTGCTCCGGAGTTCAATGACACCTACCTCCTCGCGATCGAACACAAACAAAAAATTATCCTTCAGTAGGAAAATTTGTGGAGCTGTTTCTCGTAAATACCAACCTCCTTCCTGGCAAACTGCAAGATGAGAGGTTCGTCAACAAAACAAAATCACATAGTAATAAGATAAAACTAACTAGGCAATGGAAATGATTGGACCATGGTAGAAGCTGAAAATTACAAGTTGAAGAGAGGGTAATATTACAAGAGAGAGTTCAAATAAAACTCAAAGAAGGGAAGAGATGAGAATAAGGAACAGAATAACTTGGACAACAAGGCACATTCTCCACGTCAAAGGGGACAGCGAACACGATGTAGCGATGATCCTAAAGCTACTTGAGACTACAGTGGAGAGTACTCAATTATTGATTTAAATACAATATCAAATCACTTACATTTTGTCACTTTGCTTTTGCCGTTTCTGCTTTGTAGAGATGTCGTGTCCAAGTTCTGATGAAAAATTTTTAGAAAATAAGTCTGAAGATGTTCCATTGTAAATATTGTTATAATGACGCTCGAGGTCGATTAGTCAGCGGTATTGGACAGTCAGTCGATGTGTCGTTAACCAGCAAGTCGGTCCATCGCTCAGTTGGCCGGTCAGTCTTGTTGTTCGGTCGGTCGGTCTATCTGTCTATCGGCCGGTCGGTCAGTCGGTCCGTCTGTCTGTCTCTGTCTGTCGGTCGGCCATTCTGTCAGTTCGTCGGCTTGTCAGTTGGTCTGTCGGGTAGTTCACCAATTATGATGTGCCTACCCCATAAAGTTTTTCTGCTAGTCCTTTGTCGGAAATAAAATATTTAAAAAGCTGACGAAGTTGATGGACGTGTCGTTGACGACGATCAATCTGTTGGATAAAAAAATATAGTTAAAAAAACAACTGTGAAGATTTTTATCACTGATAAAGGGAATAGGCTTCATTATTCATTCCATATCAATCGGCAAACACTTAATATCCACACATATCCTTTTAAGTATATAAAATAATAATTAAGTTGATGTTAATGTTCTTAATGATTCAAAGTTTCGATGGAGATCGACAAAAACAGACTATGTCACAGAACATAATTTTTTTTACTAAGATATATCTGTAACAGCTTGGCTATTATTTCTACAACAATAACTCAAGAAAATATCCAATATAGAGTTACTTGGGTGAAAAGTTTTCTTCTTTAACTGCGACTTACAACTTACCTGAGCTTGAAGTCTTTTGAGTTCTGCTTGGCATTTGTCATGTTTCCGTTTTAAGAGCTGGATTTAGAAACAAAAGAAAGCAAAACAGTGTCGGTTACAAACTAAAAGGTCGATTACCACTTTTCAGTATCTCAATTTCATCTCAATTCCGTGATATTGGCATTAAAGCACAGAAGAAAGGAAGTTACTTGTAGTTTGCACAAAATGTTACTTTATATCCACTTAATTGCGTAATAACGCTCAAACTACTTACGTCTCTCTCATGCATAATAGCTTCTTTCTGAAGAACTATTTTTGTTTGTTTTCGAGTGGTTGCAGAGATTTTATTCTCTAGTTCGTTAATTTTTTCCTCGTATTCTTTGACCAGTGCCTAGAGTAAGGAAACATTTACCTGTAAGTCATCATCATTATTATGTCAATAAGGTTGCTAAAAGCCAGTTAGGCAACGCGCCAACTACTTACAAAATGCAAAGTAAAAATTACAAGCTACAATAATTACGATACAGGGCGTGTCAATTTGACACGCCCTTATTAAACTAGTGAACTCCGTTGATTCCCAAATTCAGCAAGAGACGTACTACGAGGCACATCAGGGAGGAGCTGATTCAATCAGTCCAGTCTCTAGTAGTTCTTGGGAAAAATAAGATTCGAACACTTCTTTCTTACAGTGAGGTTTAAGAAGCTTGAGCCCATGGTTACTCCTAGAACAGGTCGCATTACTAAAATTTAAATAAACGCTAATCTTAATATCAACTAATCAAGCGAGATCTTTTTCTCTTTTCTACAGGGGTGCAAAGTTCAATTTTTTTTAGTATGGACATGACCCTTGACGACCAGTTGTATTCGTTTGTACAAAAGCGGGCTGCTGTTCCATGTAATCCCTCTAGCCTGACAATGTCGCATTTGAAAGTGGGTCCTCTCGTGTACTCGAGCCTAGGCCGGACTAAGGTAACATATAACGTCTTTCTGGTGCTCTCCGTTTAGGACTGGAGAGCGGAGATAGTCGGTTGTGCATATTAATACTGACTGAGGAAAAAACAAATGATGTGTTCAAACCTCTTTTTCTTTCTTCAAGCTATCAATTGTTATTTCTTGATTCTCTATGGTAGCTTGGGAATCATCCTCTACGGCTTTCGAGTCAGTGAGCTGAATTTGAAGCAGCGAGTTTTCTGCTTTTAGACGTCGAACAGCCTCATCGACGTCAGTCTGAAAAATCGAAGAAAAACAACAGAATGAAATGAATGGGGTGTTTTTTTTTTGTCTTTAGTTAGGATACTTACCAAATATTTATTTTCATCTTCAAGCCCCAAAGCTCTTCTCTTGAGAATCTCCATTTCTTTGAGGCTTTCCTCCAGTTTCTTACGCACGTCTTTCAGCTCCCCAGACATCTCTCGTCTCACTTCCATCAAAAGATTTCGCTCTTCTTCGACCAAACGACACCTCAAAGAGACATTCCAACGATTTTTCAGAATTTAACTGAAATACAATGCCATAAACGAATAAAACTTAAAATTCCAACTATGTCCATGTCACCACTTGTTGGTAATAATGTAGCCGGTTGGCAGCTAATCACAAAGTCTATTACTAATCATAACATGAGAGTAAGACTAAGACACACTTTTCAGGAAAAGTTATCAGTTCAATTCCTGGCAGTACCTGACGTGAGCCGTGTTGAGTTCCTCTATAAGTCGAGCACTTTCCATATCAGTCGCATGGAACTCAAGTCCTGGCCTACAATGGAATAAGTTCGCCAAAAAAGCAAGGTTTAGCCGTGGATTTCCCTGGAAAAAAAAAAAAAAGAAACCAAATAACGACTAATTTTCACAATGATCATTGTTCCTGATTTTTGCGAGCTGAATGTTCCTTGTTTTTCTGAATAATTTTCTCACGATACAAAATCTCGGTTAAGGAGATCAACTGATCCACGTTAAGAAAAAAAACCCGGTATAAATACCTTAACAAGTTCATGTGGCGTTATGTATTTATTACATCCTATCAGCTCAGCCATGGATAAGATTTTCTTTGCTCTGACGAACAAGTCTTCTTCATCCAAAGGAGACAAACTGCACCTTTTCACAACATATAGATGGTGAGAATCTTCAAGTTATTTATTGACGCGAAATAAAACAATTTCCTATTACGTGATGCCGACTTTTTCACCCCTAGAATCAATATTCCATCGGTATACCAATCTATATTGACTTCATTATGTATTCTGTTTATCTTAAGCCTTCTCTTAACATAATATTTCCTGACCAACTGTTGAAAAACTGGCTGAGTGCGCGCGCACGACATTTCTTCATAAAGCATAACTTCTTGTTCTCGGTTCATTAACATAACAGCAAATAACTCAGAGTGCAATACCTCTGTGGGGAAAGCTGAGTGAAAAGGTAACTGTATATCACAGAGTCCTACATAGAACAAACAAAACAGAAACTTAATTAAGTCATTGTAACTGGAAGCAGCGAATGAAAATAATAAAAGGTATAAAAACAGTTGGGAAGGGAGAAAAAGGAAAAGTGGATAAAAGAGATAAAAGCCTTTGTAAATTATTCCAAAAAAGGCAGTATTTCGAGTTAGCCGCAATGTTTTCATTTAAATATTAACATTGTTTTGTGGATGAAGTTATGATCTTATTGATCAATAGGTGGTCACGAACCTTTAAACTGTGGTTGAAGTCTGTCATCTCTGGACCCCTGTAAAGTGTGTGTCTCAGTTGATAATTGACCCATCTGATCAGTAACTCTTCTGCAGAAAGCTAAACAGTTGAACGCATGTCAGTTGCCAACGATGTGTTTGCGTTCGGAAAGTTCAGTGCAGTGAAATGCAGTCAATGATTCAAAACATCGGAAGATAGTTCTCATTACTTAAAGTTTCATTCTCATAGTGAAATATTACTATGAAAACAAGTAGAATTGAAAAACATACCTTAACAAACCTTGGCCAGTTTTCATTTGACCTGCGCAACAATACCAAGTTTGGATGGTTTTCCACATTCACACGAGACAGCAAGCCAACCTGTAACATTTCAGTCGTCAACTTTATCACAAATTTTCCTTCCTTTGGGTAGCAGCTAGATGACAATTGTTCTTCTTTTTAAAAGTGCAATTGTTATAATGACTTTAATACATAACTTACCCGGACGATTTTCCACAGAACTTCCAAAACCAAGTATTCCTGGCAAAATTGAAAAGATCGATGATTTTAACCCTCTGAAAGCTAACAGTTTAATTTCTCCTTACAGTAATACTGCTGAATCATTCATCAAGATTATGAGAATAAAAGAAATGATTGCCATCCTAAGAAGCTTTGATTGCTTAACATATTCTCCTTTTCAATAAAAAATTACAATAGCGAAGATTTTGGAAAATATACTTGATACGGATGTTAGGGTGGGTTAATGTCAAATGAAACTAGTTACAACTTGCCGGCGTTATTGCTAAAAATTGAGAAGTGAAAATTGGCAATATTTCGTTCACTTAGTCAAAACTTAAGTAAGACAAAAAAGTTACGGTACCTTTCCACTCCAGAGGTCCTCAGCTGTAACGTTGTGCACATCAATACCCAGTTGCTGTGTTCCCTCTAACACTAGCTTTTGATTCTCTAATGCCTGATGAATATTCCTCACTTGCTTATGGATTCTGGAGCATGGCACGGTTCCTCTTCGGACTCGGTTTAATAATTTGCTGACAACAAATCGGGAAAAATAAAATTTACTCGGTAAGATAGAATAAATAGGGTCAAATCGTATGGCTGGTTGTAATTGATTCCTAGAGAACTGCATCAATGTAAAGTTCAAACAACGCAGAATCATGTAATTACGAAGAAAGGCCCATTTCCACTGGAAAAAATAATAACCATAAGAACCTTCACTCCCTTGTTTTGTTGAATTCAGGGAAACGTAATCAATAAAACATAGTCCTGAAACCCACGTAGCAAAGTAAAGCAAGATTCAGCGAAGCAAGATAAGTTTTGAACGTTTACATGATACGATTAATTCTTGCATGAACGATGTTTCCCGAAGTGCAAATGGGTTTTAAGTAAATAGGACGAGACCAAAATACGATTACTTCAAATACGATTAACCACGCCGACAACACTTCATTTCTCTTACCAGAATAAAACACCGGTTTTTTGCGCTTGATACAGCTTCTGTGCAGGTTTAATTGGTAGGCATTCAAGATCGCTGTCCTGACTCATCACAGAGTTAACAAAGCTGACGGAGGCTTCCAGCTAAGGTATTACGAGAGAGGAATCAGTTATTTCGCCTCAGCAACATCTCACGTTATACAAGAGATCTCCCCGGCCGTACTTTCACTCGCGAATGTTTCGAGTTGAACTTGAATTTAAACTAGACAGTTATAGACACAGTAATTCGTATCAATATCAATGAAAAGAGAAATTCCCTTCATTTCAAGCTATTTATATTCCTCTTTCATTTTTTTTTTCTTGTACAGGTGGACAGTTTGGAAAGTGCATCGAGTCGAATCTACACCCTCGTGGCCTTAACAACTAATTATTTACATAAGTTGACGAATTAAGTTTTCTTTCGCTGAATTTGAGTGAGTTATTAAAATACTAAAACAAGGAAACACGTTTTTCGATCACCTATTACGGCTTGTTTACCAATTTTTTTTTATAAGTACCACTCAGTTTATGTTAAAATCAAAAATCTTTCTTCGAAAACTAAGTGAAGATTAAGGTAACAATCTCATGCAGCTTTCGTGAACCGACTCTTCCGCCATATAACCATATTGTAAACACTGATGATCCAATCACTTTAATATTTTATTTTCACTTAATGTCGTGAAATCTTCTTCAAATTGATAACTTCTTTTAAACTTACCTCAGCTAAAGTAAAAGCAGTGGCCATCGCACAGTATATTACTTCAAGGCGATCTGTACTCAAAGTCGCGTATCCTTAACTTTTGACATCAAACTTGAAGTATTCTAATTTGTAGGGAATTTATCCTCTAGGGATCACGTCTTTTATTAAATCGCTGAAACTCAAACAATTCGCTTCCAAAATCAAGCACCGCTATCAATCATTTCCCTTTTGTTTCAGAAGATAAACAAAATGGCCCGATTGTAACTAAATCTCTTTATGGCAATAGCTCATAAAGAAAAAGCTTACATCAAGGAATTCAGCCAAGCGAATCCTATCATTGTACAAGAGATCAACAATCGTAGCACGTTTTTCCCTTAAGACGGATATCATGACGTCATGGTATTTACTATCAATTCAAGCTCCTCGGTAAGCGAGACTGTGGACACGGATGAAGAAGAGGAGATGGCTACTGAAGGATTTTTTAAAATGCAACAGTTTGTAATGAGTGTAATCCTGGTAAGTCAAGTCTAAAGAGCGTTCAAACATTGGGGTTATTGTACGATACGACAAAAAACCTAGGGGAAACCCTGAGGCGATTCTGCTCTAGGCTCTCAGTTTGCTGACCAGAACGCAAAGCTGATACAGTAACAGCTGAAGGAAAAAAAATCTAGAGAGAATCACTGACTGCAAATGAACAAAAATGAGCAGATAACGTCGGGCAGGCAAAACTGGAATTAACTATGTACATGTGCCCCGATACTGACATCAACGCAAAGGAATCTACCCGTAGAATTTTTGAAGCATGATTTATTTTGAAAAATCAACAGTACAAAGAATTTATGCTCTTCAAAAATATTATCTAAAATATACAATTCCTATCCACAAGAAGTAACTAGACTAAATATAAATAGCTGTAAAGTTGGGTTTTCGTTGTCCTAAAATATGAGTGGATTAATTCTACACATAAAATAAACCTTTATATAAAAATACCTACTACAAACCTATACCCACATTTGTTTCATTACTTTCCAGTTTTTAAATTTTACTTTTGCTGACATAAAAAAGTAAACTATCGTTATTGTATCAGCGTCACTTCTTCCTCTGCCTCAGTACTCATTTCTATCATTTTTAGCAGACCTAATCTACTCAGTGACATCAAGTTTCGACGTAATGACAGGGTCTTAAAGGTAATATCTGCGTCCTCCTAAGGTTTTAAGAACGTCGTTCACACCATTCATGATATCCAAGTTGTTTTTTAGGCCGTGGAATCAAATTGGTTCAGCTGTTCTCCTTCAGCAGCTACACAGAATGCCTCAGGGGGAGGTGGGAAAGGCTCATCATCGTCCTCGGAAAACTCATAGTCTGAGTAATCAACTTCAGGAAGTTCAGGGGCTGAGTCGTCATCACGGAGGCCATTTTCTTGTGGTACTGGGGGCGGTAAGGCACGTGATGGAGGAGGTGGGGGTGGTGGTGGCGGCTCCCCAAGATTAGGACGCTTTCGAATGTTTCCAGTCGTCTTCCGTCGACCCACATCTCCTAAGGGTATCTCTAAATTCTGTTTTTCATCGATGCAAATCTCCCTTGAATAAAGTTCGTCGCTCTTGCTCCGATTCGAAGTGAGGGAGTTTTGCTTTTCGCGAAGTCTCTTTGGAGTGGAATGAACAATCACTACTGGAAGACTGTCTCCATTGCATTCTAAACGTTCCAATGGGGGAAACAACTGCTGACTATGTGAATAAGGCAGTGCATTTTGTGAGGACACCTTTGTTCTTTTGGACCCGGGGATTGTGGGTTTTCCTGAATTGATGCATTCATCAGTTGTTCCCTGGGGGCTTGGTGATCTTTCAGCCGAGGTCCAAACACCACTTGACGATGCTGCAGAATGGCTCAAAAGAGAAATCCCTCTCAATTTCTTTAATTTCATTTGGTACAGGAGGGCAAGAATAATACTTTTGTAACAAAAGGCGTATTGCTCCAAAGTTTGCACCATTCCAGCGCGCTGTTTTCTCAAGGACCGGATAGTTTCAGCCACATCTATCCTGCCAGTGGATCTGAACGACTGCAAACAGTTGTTAATGGCGCAAAAAGCCCCAGATCTTCCTACCCCCGCACTGCAATGTATCAACATGGGGGTCCCCGGCACCGAAAGCGATCTGTACTCTTTCATCACTTCATAATACAATTCAAGAAAATCCGCTGGGGATGACGGGATACCAAAGTCAGGCCAAGCAGTGAATTGAAAGTACAAGAGTTCTCGACACTCACCGCTACCAGAATTTTCAAGAAGGAAACGACGAACCACACGACTGTCGAGTTTTCTGTAAACAAAATTAAATGCTTATTAATAAAACGCTAAACAAAACTGAGACTTCAAGGAACATCTCCAATAGCGCTTTCGGTCTTACCTTTTGTAAATGCAAGTTATCACAAAGTCTTTAAAGGTAACTTCCTCGTCAGTGTCAGGCCAATATCTTTAAACAAAAAAAAACATTTAATTGTGACTTACCTTACATAAGCAATATCAAACAAAGGACATGTCGTGATTCTTACTTGACACATTTGACTTTCTTGCCCTCTTGCAGCCTTGTTAACATAACGATCACGTGAACGTTCTGCTCCCAAATCATCTGCCAAAAGTCAGCAACGGTATTATCCAGTGGGCCCTGGAATGACACCAGAGGTATAGGATCGGTTAGAGAGATTCCTGTTGGCTTTGATACATCACTGGTTGGTATGAGGTGGAAACTTAGCTAATTACAAACTGTATCTGAACCAAAATTACCTGAGTTGCGATGTAAGAATTCTTCAGCTTATTTCCGTCTAGGAAATTCGCGTTGATATAATCCGACCCTCCTTCGCCCTCTTTCACCTGCTGTAGGGTCACATTGGAGTGATCGAACGGAAGGATGTTCTTATAGCGGTTCTTGGGCAGATTAACGGGATCACTGAGAAAAGGAGAAACGAACTATGTATCATCGCCTATTGTTTGACCGAGGCAATACAAACACCGCTAAAAAATACATTAAAATTTAGGTTCGTAATGAAGAAGCGTCTTTACAATACCCTAGCACTAAATTACTATTTTTGACGTTCATTTTAAAAACGAAAAGCAGATCTTTATTTAATTGGCCTTTATTCTTACCAGGAAATGAAAACCAAACGCCGCGCTAGTGATGTCTTTCCGATGCAAAGTCTTCGCTGATTTTCACACAAATGTTGGATGAAAAAAGTTACGACTCCAAGTTATGGGCGCATAAAGAACTACTTACTTCGCTCGTTGATAAGTTCCTTCTGCTTTTTCAGCCGACAGTTCGCGAAACTCTCTATTGACGTCACAAGTTACTAACCGCTGGAGCATTTCCTCTGCCATCAATCGCGCCTTTTGTATACGTAGACGTGACTGCAAGGAGTAATCCAAGGAAAAAACTTTAAGCAAGAACAAATAATCAGAAAACTTCCCTTTTTAATGAAATTGTAAAGACTGACTCACGCTTCTGAAAGCATGAGACATAATCACGGTTAATGAAGTCTTCCTTCATGAAAAATCAACTTGGTGGGACTTTTAGCGTGGCTGCCCTAAGACTCTGGAGTGCCCTTCCAGAGAGTACAAAAAACACCAATAACATTCATCAGTTTAAAAAAAAGAAAAAAACACTGACTCACTCATTTGAAGAAGCGTTTTTTGTACGAAAGTTGTGATTTCTCATTTTAATTTTTAGATTCGATTATTAATTTATTATATTGTTGTAATTATTATTTAATTTTTATCGTATTTTTGTTTTAAATGTAGTATTTTTATCTTGTATATAGATATATAACAATATTGTAATGCGCAAATGAAAATTTTGTATTAATATTTGCGCAAAAGAAATTTAATAAAAAATTGTTATTATTTTATTTCATCATAAAAAAAATCAAGTAAAATCTTAAGCATTGCATACTGATCCAGGGTTAATTCAGATTTACGCGATTGGCAGGTGAGCTTTAGTGTGCTTTTACTTTCTGCGTTCATTTTTGTTTCCTTTATCATGATTATTTAATCATTATTTCATTAACTACAGGTTTATTGAATCTTATTGTTTAGAATTAAACTTTTCATTTTAACAAAGTTTTTAAATCTCACACATTTCTGTTGAAAATAAAAATCACATGCACTATTTAAGTTTAAGCAAATAATATTATACTCTTAAATCAAAAGTTTTAATAAGTAAACATTAAAAACACCTTCATTAGGTTTTCCTGGCGATTTTAAGGCTAAACGGAATTTGTACTTTGGCATTTACTCTCAAAACTCGAGGTAACATTAGCATTGAAATTGTTCATGTATTTTATCGTTTATCTCAATAGTAAAATTTATAAGATTTTTTTTATCCTAAGTAGGCAATCTGGGGCGAAGCCAGCCTGTGGTTGTGTAGGCCTGGGCCTACAGTTTTTTTTCACCCGCTTCACTTTTAACAACGGATAAATCGCTATCCACGGAATAAGTGAAAACAAAACGTACTGCGCTTTCCAAATGATAGATATTTATCTATTTATCTCGAGGGAAAACAAAACTAACTAGTTTCTCGAGGGACTATAAATTAAGTGCTTTGTTATATATTTAAACTTTCCTTAAATAATCATGTGGCAAAAACAAACAAACGAGCTGTTCTATTCGGCGCGCGGGCAACAACTGCGCAACTGTATCCCTGTCGGGATACATTTGAATTTGATCAGGTGCACGTGACCAAGAATCAACCAATTGCAGTGCTCGTTTTTTTGAGTGTAAGTCTAAGTAAATAACAACATATAATATCATCCTCCTCATTTATAACTGCAACTGTATCCCTTTGAAAGTTAGAGCTGAAAAGAGAAAAGTCACTGCAGTTAAAGAAACGAAAAAAAGGAAAAATAAAAGAAAGATAAAAGCCTCTCAACCTTGAAGAGGAAAATATATACATTCTGTTCTCTATTTGATTCATATTCACTCAAGTGTTATTTATGAGAACTATCGACTTTTAAAGTGGAACACTGAAAATAAATTGTACGGCCATCGCCACTAAACAAAGAACACAGCATACAACAGTCAAATGAACACATCTACAATTTACCTTGGTATCTTCCAAACCGTTATCACCGCTGGCTAATGCACTCTTGGCGTAATAATAGTCCCACTCAATGGATTCTACAAAAACAAATATGTTTTCACGAATGTGCTTGTACAGTCAATATCAAATTTTACAGATTTTAATTAGGTTTTGCAAACACAACTTTGACGCTTACAAATTAATTTATCAGGGTATACAAATTATATGCTCATCTCTTATTACGAATAACTCAGGTTTTTGATAACAGAAATACTTCTAACGCAAAATCCTTATTCATCTTACCTTTTTTTTGTTCCTTCATCTTCTTGGATGTCTTCTTGGCCGTGTTTTCTGGACTCAAAGAAGAATGACTGTGAGACTGCCCCGCCATACGAACGAGGTTATCTTCTCGTAGACCAACAACAATACGTCCCTCATTGTCCAAGCTCTTAAGCGTGAAATGAAGAAATAATAATATGACAAAAAATTGAAAAATATAAAAAAAAAAAAAAAAGAATTAACAATAAATTTTTGTTCTTTAACCTTTTAATTCTCAACAACGATAAAACCAATTGTTTCCAATGATATCGATGGGGTCATTGCGTCAAAGCAGTTACTGTCAAAAATAAGCGTCATCAATGACTAAATTTAGTTTATTGAGTCTGATTAGAACCTGATGTTAATTAAGCAGCTTCAAAATCAATTACCATTGGAAGAAGGGGAGGTGGTAGGCGGAGATAAATAGTGAAACTATACCTCTCTCATTATTACATCAAGCTCATTCATTTCTTGTGCTGCTTCTTTGAGAACTGTCTCCTCGTAACCTGGGTCCCAGCCGTGGTGAGTGGGTGCGGAGCTTGGTTCAAAGTGCTTGTGGTTCACCATAGCAAACGAGTCCAGCCTGGATTCCTCTTCTGTCTTCTAATACAGAAAGAAGAATTGTCTCCATCAAGTTCCTTTAGCTATTAACTGCATTGAAACAACAAATGTCACCTGAAATTTTGGCCACGCAAGACTTCACTCGAGAAAACTTTCATTTATTTTTTAGAAACAAAATCGCTAGGTGCAAATTACGAGAAAACCCGTTAAACGGTTTGCTTAAAACTGAAAAAATAGATAAAGAAGCTACGTCATGCGGGTAGATTTGACTGCGCTGACAAATCGGCCAGGTATCTGCCATTGACACTCTAGCTGCATGTAACACTACACGTGTTCATAGAAAACGTTTCCGGCAAAAGTAGGACAAAAGGTTAAAGCTACATTCTACGATGGCCTAAGACCTTTATTCGTTTGCGAACAAAGCGCTTTACAGCCTAGTGGTCGTGGTATGTACCTGGTCCTTCCAGGGATTTTTCAGTCCATCAATACTGACGTGATGTTCATATAGTCGTCCTCTCGATAGACTGTTGTGACGGTGACTTGAGCTTGACCTTAACTGCATCATAACATTATCTCTGTTGTTGATATCCTATGAGTGGAAACAACAGTGCATCGTTCAGAACATATCCTTAGCTTTTGGCTACCATCATTATAATATACAAATTAAGAAGACTTCCGCGCATATGACGACAACAGTCGGACAATCTGAGCCTTGAGAAAACTTACTAAGGAGTTATACTTGTGAAGTGACTGATAATCCAGCATGTGGTGCTGTTTTCGCTCAACACATTTCCTGAAGACCCAAACCAAAAGAACAATCAACAGGGTAAGGAAAGCAGCGCTTGCAATGGTGATTCCAACTATAACTCCAACTGACAGACCAGTTTGTCCTGCGCCTGAACCTGGTAACAAATCAAATAAGTCATCAGTATCTGGCTTACACACCTAAATATCCTTTTGCAAACTCTGAAGACTGATGGATCCTAACGACTCTTTGAAAACATCTTTTCTTCGTATTATATTCATAAATAAGGCCACTTCATGCAAACAGGAATATTAACTTGAAGTTATCACAACTAAAATCGATTATCCTGCAGCTTTAAGAAATTTACAACATCAACACATCTAATCTAAACCAGTTTCCCCGCACTGAGGCATATTACTTACTAGGAGTACTCTCAACTGAAATTGACGCACTCACAACAGCACTCTTGGTTCCACCAACGGATGTATTAGCCATGATGTAAAAAAGGTAATTTTGACCAGAGGAGAGTCCAGTCACGTGATACGACAGGCTGAGGCCTTGATAAAGGACAGAAAAAAGAGACGAATTGCTCATGTATAGGGAGTAGTTAACGATAATTCCGTTGGGATGCTGAGGCTTTGTCCATGTGACGTTCATTGAAGATAAACTGGAGATCTCAAAGGCAGGAGCATCAACTCCTTCAGGTACTGGGGGAGTAAAAAAGAACAAAATTGTATTTTCATTTAATTTCATAGTTTTTTCAAGGATTGAGGTAAATATCCGCAAAGGTTCACACAAAATAGCCAGTATACCTGTGAACTCTAAAAAAATCAAAAAATTTATTTACCTGACTCCAAAGTCAGTACAGCTGTCCAGTGTGTCTCCCTATGTGGTTTCCCTGTGGTCGCCACTTGAACAGAGTAGTTGGTATAAGGTGTAAGGCCTGTAACAGTATGATTAGTTCCAGCCACTCGGAACCTATGAATCTCACAATGCTCGTTTATTCGCGCTGGGTCACATTGCTGAAGAAACAGAGTAAATGAAAAGTTTAAATTTTGCCTAGCATTGGCCAGTTTCCAAGAAGCCATAACTTTCCTTGCGCCTAGCGCTTCCGCCATAATGTCTTTCTCGAGAAGAGGGTCGTCACTGCAATTTGATGTCGCTAAAGCATTACTGAAGACAGTATAGGGATTATAACCGTTTGGTCGAGTAATACTGTAACGTCTTCCACTTCCTAGGTCGAGAGTTAGGTTTAGAACACCTTGATAAAGTGGAGGACGTGTATATAAACCATTGACCAAAACAGTTCGAGTGAAGTCAATTGAACCGTCATCAGCAAAGCGAACCTGAACCAGGGACAAACCAACACTAGAGTAAACGAGGGAAGTATTCAATGACACCACATATCTTCTACCCACTGAGTCATACTCTGCGCGAATCATGTATCCGGGAATTCCCTTTTCTGCCAGTACTACACTCCCACTTACAAACACACTGTCGCGTAAAATTCCAGAAAAATTTTGTTCCGTGTGAGAAATATCGAAGAAAACAAATGTTCGATTCGCATCTGTTTGTTCGGCACCAAGTTGCGAAATAGCTGCAGAGATTGTGAGTAGACAATGCGAGTTTGGGTCTTCAACTGGAACAACTGTAAGAGTTGGAAAAAACGGAACTACCTTAAGATTCGCCCGCAATAAAAGATTTACGTCATTTAACGTTACTGCACCGTCCCCGTTGGCATCCAAAGCCTGCAACTGATGATTTGCGATAGAGTTCTGTATCTGCTGTCCCTTGTCCCGGGTGAAGTTAAACTGCTGCTCTGTCAAGTAATCCAACGTGAACTTCACATCTCTTATGTCAAAAATACAATTACCGTCAGTATCTCCAGGTTCTCTCTCCCCTTCTGGACAATTACTACAAGGGGGAGTGGGACAAGCGACGACTGACCGTCTGATGCGAGTGCTACTTGAGGAGAGGGATGCAAGAGATTTCCGTCGACGAAGTAAACTTTCGATTGCAACCTCAACACTTCCTGCCACGATGGTCCTAGGCACGGGAGGTCCGATCACGCTACCAACAAGATCATTGGCAGCAATCATCAGGACCGTTCCTTTCACACCAGCAACACCGCTTGATAAAATTCGAAATGTTATATCTGCGACATGGCGGATGTGATGAGTCTGGCTGTCCACACTGAGTGCACCAGCAATTCTTATTTTTCCAGTTTGATTAGTCAGACTAGACCTATCAGAAACAAAATAACCAAGCATGTCAGCACCTTCACTGACACTAGTCACTTCCAAGAACTCGTTGTCAAACACGATCTCTGTATCGAAACTACCTAGCACCAGATTTCCAGAGTTAATACGCACAGCTGCTATAAAACTTTCTCCGACATGCACCCGTTTTAATGGAGTGCCAGTGACGTCACCGATGTCTACATCGCCAACATCTGGGTCCAAGTTGCAGGCAAAGGAGATAGTATCTGATATGGACAGAGATCGTAAGGCAGATACTGTGACTTGTACTTCCTGTGGAGCATTGGCTCTCAGCGTCACAAAACCGCTTGTCTTATTCAGTGATATTTTTGTTGTGTCCTGAGTTCTAAATGTAACTAAATTAAAAAAAGTCGTGTTTTCTGAGCGAAAGAGCCCTATAAATTTAGAGTCATCGCTGAATCCAAGATTTACAGATAGTTGCAGATTTGAACGATCTCGGACACCTCTGAGCGTAAAGTTTGGTGACGGAGCAAATTCTACAAATGTTACCACTGTAGGAGTTGACTCAACCCAAAGGATCAAGACATGACTTGACATGTTCAAAAAACTTCCACTGATTGACAGCTGACCTCTCTCACCACTCCACCGGACTGAGACCACATGGTACCCATCAACTAGCGCTTCAATGGAGCTGTACTTCGCAAGCTCAGCTGGTTGGGCTGATACAACCTTAAATCCTGTTCTCTTGTTTATTGTGATGTCACTTGATGTTCCGTTTGTTAGCCTAAGATTCAAGTTTAATCTGACTCGTTGGTACTCTCCCGAGTTTCCGATCGGATTCAACTGAGTAACGTTAACAACTGTTGAAGAGTTAAAAAATGGGTGCGGACTCGCGAAACCTTCGAGCTTTTGGGCACCAATGACATTAATTGTGACTTGAACATTTGACTGAACATGTGCGAACTTGATGGAAATATGGACTCGACCAAAACCACCACCAGAGGCAGCCACAGTGACAGCGCGATCTGTTTTAGCCAAGCTTACCAAGTCACCATTACTTTCTATGGAGTAAATTGTCCGATTGTCGTTTGAAACATCCACGCGGTGGTCATGACAACTGATGTTGTAAACAAGAGTCACTCTTACCTCTGCATATAAAGGAACCTTAAGCACCTCTGCAGGATCCCCGCGTGGAGTTATCTCGTTGGAGCTCAAAATGACAAGAACTGCTCTGGGTTCCTGGAAGATTACATCGAGGTTTGCACGTAAACTAATGGTTGGTCTCTGTGAGCAATGACCGGAGTCTGCGATGACATGAAGTACATTACCGCTACTATTATCAACCGCTGTTATACGGTTACCTTCTACCGTGACCAGACTGTTGTTTGAAGAGTTGATGATGAAGCCCTCTAGGCTTTGAAACGTGTTCACAACCCCGTCACTATATTGTACTGACAATATAACTGAACCTTTATCCTGTGGAAGTAAAAACCTTTGATCCATGCTTAAGCTTAAAGGATGCCGTAAGGAGCTGTTTAACAACTTTGGAAAAACACCTAAAACCCGTGTAGCAATGACTGCGTCCAGAACATATATTCTGGTGTCTTCATTATGAACTTCCACATCTACGTCCCCGAACGTACGACCCAGTAGATAGTTAAAAACTCTAATGGTAACCTTGCCGACACTTTTTCCATGAACATTTAAACCAACAAGCTCAGCTACACTGTTGTTTGAACTTCGCAAGTTGTCTTTAACGTGCTGTGTGACATCAACTCCAGCGAAGAACTGCTTCCCGTTTGAAAAATTCGCCGTAACTGTTAAGCGCGCATGTTGATAGCGTGACTTGCACGAGTCACTGGGATCGTACCAGTCACGTATTCTCTTCAACTTAGCTGGTTTAACATCCAACGTAACAGGAATAGTAGGTGCCCAGACAACGAAAATAGATTTTGCGGAGAGATTCTTGTAATAAAACTCGACAATGGCTGAGGATGATCCTTGCGTTTCATTTCCGTTTACATAAACACTGGAACAGTCTTTTGAAACTTTTAAAACAGCTACATCAAGACTTCTACAAGCAACACTTGTCACATTCAAAACTCGTCCTTTCACAGTTACCCCAAGAACCGTCAGTGGAACTTCAACCCGCTTTCCATTCAGAACGGCAGTGTTTACAATAACTGACAAATCAGAGACGACAAAAAGCGCTGCAAAGTCATCTTCAGCAACAACGAAAACTCCTTTTTTACTTCTTCCGAATCCGTCTTCGAAAATAGCACCCACCGGCACAGAAATGAGCTGATTACCTCCCTGATCACTAACGTGCCTCACAACACATTCCATGTATTCTGGACTCGATGATATGGCATTTTCTGCGATCTCTGCTTCGATAGTAAAGAACAAGGTGGTAGAGGTTGTTTCATGGCCGTAACTATTCTTTCTAGCACCAAATACCACGAATTCGTTTGCACCATTAAAAGTAGAATGAATTCTCCACGAAGAGGAGGCCTGCACTTCTGTGATCTTTAAACCAGACGACAACGTGAAGATCAAAGTAAAGAACTGCACGTGTTTGGTATACTGAGCGTACACCTTAAGAACAAATGAATCACCCACATGTAATAAATGTAACGGTGCCATAATAACAAAGTTTTGCTCAACTTGAGGCACTTGTCTTTTCCTGAGATCAAACTGCTTTAGCTTTGTCATACTAGAAAGAGACAGACCATATTCCATCAAAGCTTTGTGAGAAGATGCACTGGTGTTGAGCCATTCCGGAGGGATGTGCAAACTTCCAACACATATTCCAGTATTGGCTGACGGTATACAGCTGGTGTTTTCCTCTGAGTAAGTATCTAGGTTAATAAGCCTGAAATGTACTTCAGTTGGTGCGGTTCTAACATTAAAGTTCCGATCAGATACCTGTATGGCTACACGTATGACCTGATAGTCAGGCGAACCGCTGACAACAATTGCTCGCAGGTATAAAGCGAGTTCTCCCAACACTTTGAACGTACTTACGTAATGAATGCTCCCTCTGTGGACCTCCAATTCACCTGACAACTCAGAAAATAAGCCAAGGCTAGTCTCAGCAAGAACGTTGCTCAACATGACCACAGGCTCGACCTGAAACGCACCCCGAATGGCATAAGTGAAAGGATGTGTCTCGTTGTACTTGAACGTAACATTGTAGTTAACATGTACTTGAAGTAGAGCGGTGTTGTTCAAGGACGGTGAGCCCATGTTCAAAGCAAATACCGATAAGTTTAAGGTCAAATAATTTGCATCTCTTAGAGATGATATAGTTTTCACTTTGCCGGTTAAGGAGTCAATAACGAATAGCTGTGAGGCCTGATCAGATGACAGTATTTCATAAATAACCTCTGCATTCTTTCCTGAATCTTCATCGGTTGCGTTAACTTGAGCAACAACTGAATCCGCCTGCAGGTTCTCCGAGATTAAAACGAAATAAAAACTTTTCGTAAATACAGGAGGATTGTCATTCACGTCTAACACAGATAGAGTGACGTTTGCGAGGCTGAAGAAAGAGACTGATGAACTCACGGTACCAATAATGGTGAGCGAATTGTTAGGAAGAAATGTGTCGGTTGCCTTAACAACAAGATAATACTTCTTCGTTTCCTCAAAATCTAACGACTTTATAAGTTTGATTTCTCCTGTCGAGTCATCTATCACAAACGTTTCGTTATCGCTGCTTTTATGAATGCTGTAAATGATTCCGCCTGCGGAACTTAGGTCTAAATCTCTTGCATGTACACGCAGAACAGTTGAATTAACTGTTAAGTTCTCGTAGGCACTGGTTTGGTAACTCTCTTGAGTGAATATTGGACGGTGATCGTTTACATCGACAACATGAATCATAACTCGAGTGTCGGACGACTGAGGTGGGATTCCTCTGTCAGTGACTGAGATGTTTAAAGTATACAGAGAAACATTTTCATGATCCAGCGCATGTGCTGTAGTTATAACTCCATTTTCCTCGTTGATAGCAAAGATGGCGGCCTTGTTACCTAAAACGGAAGATAACGACGAATATAAATGATTGAATTTTCAGACGATAGCCCTTAGGGAAACGCGCTTTCTCAAGACTTGCGTTGTATCAGGTGTTTACTTTATCACACGTCGTATTTATATCCAAAAAATTTTAGCTCCAACCTCCTATGTCAACATGGAGACCAAAGTGATACTGTGGTTCTTGCCTTAAGTTTACACCAACTTTAAATGATTGTACAATAAGATACCATAACTGTTTGGCATTCCCACAAAGACAATTTAGAGGCCTCAATTTTCACTGCTTACAAAGTTTGGGCACTACCGCTTCTATCAGAACTCGCTGAGGAACTGATCTGCGAAGAGAGGGGCAAGTAATTGCATAAAGTGGGAAGTAAAAGTCACTCACCCGAAACTATAGTGTAGTTGAGAACCGCATTTGTCCCCGAGTCACCGTCGGTGGCGTTTACTTGTGCAATCATCGTACCAACTGGTACGCTCTCCCTGACATACAAAGGAGACAGCGGATTAATAACAGGTGTCATGTCATTCACGTCAATCACTTGGATTTTAACCAAAATACTGCTTGACAGTGGAGGGGTCCCTTGGTCGTGTACGGTCACATTTAATGCGTAAATCTGTATCTTCTCATAATCCAGCCATGTAGCTGTTGTGATGAAGCCAATCGTTGGGTTTATGTTGAACGCACCATTCAAATTTCCATCCAAGATTGAGAAGGAAAGATTCGAATTTTGCCCACTATCTGCATCTGTGGCATTGATTTTGATCACAAATGTTCCCTGCTGCACGCTTTCCAGTAACGTCAGCCTTCCCGAAAAGTTACCTTTAATAATAGGAGGATTATCATTAATGTCTCTAATGTTGATAACAACGGACACGTTGGCTTCAAGAGGTGGTGTCCCAAGATCCTTAGCTTGCACGGTTAAATTCAATTGCCGAACTTTCTCGAAGTCAAGAGATATCAACACGATTATCTCGCCAGTAGAGCTGTTTATGCTGATTATACTATCGTTTCCTGAAATAATGCTATACGACAGACGAGAATTCACTCCCTGATCACTATCGTTAGCATTGATTGTCATCAACACCGCCCCGGGAGGGTTTTCCTCGTCAAACTCCAACGTGTAAACTTCTTTTGAAAAGTGAGGACGTACGTCATTAACATCCATAACGCGCACACATATTGTAGCATTATCTGTATATAGCTGCCCTGTTAACGGCGAGTATTTATAAGCAATAATTTCAAACTTGTAAGTGTCCATGACCTCTCTATCAAGCTCCCTTGCTGTTGTTATGATTCCTGTGAATAAATTCACCCTGAAGACAGAAGTAATGTTCATGAATGTTGAAGATATATTATAAAAAATTCTATCTCCATTTGGGTCGGTAGCAAAACCAGAAACGACTTGACTCCCAGGAGGCCTGTCTTCATACAAGGAGACATTATAGAACGTTTGATTAAGATGAGGCGGACCGCGGTCATCTTCAACTGTCACGCTTATTACAGTCGTATTGAACAGCATGGGAGAACCATGATCGGAAACATTCACAGCAAGAGAGAAGAAAGGAACAGTAGTATAGAGAAGGGAACTGTTGAGCTGAAGGACACCAAGCTGGTTAATAACAAATTTGTTCAATTCGTTACCGGAAGTGATTTTGTACTGCAGCTGCGCATTAAGGCCTTGGTCAGGATCGGTGGCGTTCACACGCAACAATGTGTATCCCACATGGGCAGTATTCCTTATTGCAATGGGCTGAATCGATTCTAAGTAAGGCGCATTGTCATTTATGTCAAGAACGGTGACATTGAGTAGCAGATTTGTTGTTTTTATTTCCGCGAAGTATTCGACCGCTCGGTTTGAGGCATAAATGGCTAAACCATACAAAGATATTTCTTCCCTGTCCAAATAGTCTTGAACAACTATCTCTCCGCTGACATTACTAATGGAGAATTTTTGTCCATAATTTCCATCTCCAATAATAAAATATGTACTGAAGTCTTGCCCAGTAATGTTGATTGGGACAAATGTGTACACTTGCTCGCCTATTGAAATATCTTCAGACACATTAATGCTGACGACATTATCAGAAAACAGAGGTGGAAACATGATTGAAATGTTGACTGTCAAGTTACTTGTAAGTGAAGGTTCGCCGGAATCTGAAATTTCAACGAACAGTTGCATGAAACTGTCCTTGAGATCAGTCAATGCAGAGTTTAAGAAGATCACGCCATTTTCTCCGTCGATGAGGAAGAGACTTAAGTTGTCTCCAAGAAGACTGAATTTAAGAACAGCATTATATCCTCTGTCTCTGTCCGATGCATTGACCCGACATATTTCGTTACCCACTGGCAAATTGTAAGGAATGACCTGAAGTGGGACAGGATCTGTTACGGGAGGATTGTCGTTTTCATCTAAAATAGTGATATTTACCGTGGCATTGGTACTGATATTGTGTCCATATTTCGCAGTCACAGTCAGTGAAAAAACCTCATTAGTTTCCCTATCAATTGTGGAATTCACCAATATCGTACCATTTAATGAATCGATTTTAAATGCGACGTTCCTGCTCAGTAAATAAAAAATATCAGCACCGGGAAGTCCGGGAACATAAGCCTTAACTTCGAGAACGCTCGAATTCATCGCGCTGTTTTCTGTCAAGTTTACCGCATATAATTGGGAAACAAAAAATATTTCCACATCAGAAGCGTAAGTGACACGAAATTCCACTGTTGTGTTTGTAGTCAACACTGGATTACCATGATCTGAAATGAGCACTAAAATCTTTAAGATATGACCAACTTTTCCTTGCAAGGAACTCTTTAACGTTATTACACCCGTTGTTGCATTAATGAGAAAGGTTTGATTTGAAGAAGAGTTCTCAATAAAACTGTAACTTATTCGAGCGTTTTCCCCAATGTCTTCATCAGATCCAACGACTCTGGCCAGCGAAACACCTAAAACAGCATTCTCAGAGATCTTGATCACACGACTCGGTACAATTTGATTGACAACCGGAGCGTTGTCATTCACGTCAATGATAAAAACGACCACAAACGCATCGGCAAATTTTTCCCGACCCACACCCCCTCCATCTGTAGCTCTAACTGTCAGATTGTACCAGGCTTTCTCTTCTCTGTTCAGACAACACGCAACGCGAAGGACACCTGAGGTTGAGTTTATCATAAAAGGAAGCGCTTCAGCGCTGACAAGGCTGTAGAAGACTCTGCCACTTTTCCCTTGATCAAGATCTGTGGCATTGACGGTAATAAACGAGGCATTCACAGTTGCATTTTCCGAGACATTGGCGTGGTAGAAGATCGTTTCAAATTGTGGCGCGAAGTTGTTCGTGCAATCCGCCGAGGTCAATGTATTATCGAATACGACAAAAGGATTGAAGTTGTTGTTCGTGTTAACGCTGATAGTTTGACTGCCAACCGGTAGGTCTACAGACAATCTAAAAAGAAACAAATATGGCGGGTGTGGATTACCAAGCAAGACGGCCGTTCGCGTTAAACTTGTTTGGTTACTGTTGTCAATGGTTACGTGGAAAACACTAAAACCAATACTGTTTTGAACGAGTTCAAAGGCAGCCTGGACGCCAAAACTTCCATTTCCTCTGCTAACTCCCCGGATGAGATTTCCATGGATACCTACACCTCTTTGAGTTCCTCGAGTCCCAGCGAAATTGACAGCATTTCCTCTGTAAGTGATGTCGAAGAAAACAACTGTGTTGGCATCTGAGGCGGGGCCATTCTTTGATGTTAGAGTGACACTGAGTGACAGCTGACAATCAGAGCTAAGAACCTGAACAGGTATTACACTTACTGAGGAAACAAAGCGAACTAAACCAAGAAAGGCTCTTACAAGATAAAACGCGTCGGCCGGGTTCACGGCACTGTTCCTGTCAACATCAATATCACGGGTTTGATTGGAGGACAGTGATTGGCGGAATATAATCCCTGTTGCGTCTGAGAAATTAAAGATGGAGAAAGAATAATATCTGAGAACAAAGATGACATCTCCGAGGTCAAACAGACAATCTCTGTTGACATCACCAGGGAGGAGTAGCTTGTCGCATTGGCAAGTCGGAGCAGCACACGGAACAGCTCTACGCAAGCGCTCTTTACGAAAATCAAGCAGGTCTTGCCTCTCCTGATCATGAACACTACGTCGTCTTCTTTTTCCGGTTCCCATAACTTCCTGATCGACGGTTCCAGCTACAAGTGAAGACAAGCCATAGGTATCCGTGATTACAGAGCCTAGAATTGAAGCCAAACCCGAGCTGGTGGCATTGAAAGTAATGTCCGCTACCCTGACAATGCCATTCAAGGGCGAGTTACTCAAACAGTCCAAGGAAATTTGTCCCAAGGTGTCCAAGTCAGATACACAGGTATTCCATACACTTCCTTTTCTTACATACATCACAGCAAGCTTTGAGTAGTCATAAGTGAGAGTTAGATCGATCTTCTGGACGCCACGCCTTTCCCCAGCGTTCAAACGAACTTGAAATTGAACCGATGATCCGACATATCTTGGGGGTAACGGCAATCCGCTTTCTTCACCAAGATCGACGTCACCAACGGCCGGCAAAAGATTACAAGCCATCGTCAAGCTGGATGTAATCAGAGAAACTGCGGCAGTTGCAGTCAGAGAGAGTGTTCGATGATAGTTACGTCTAAGAGTAATTTGACCTGTTAAAGAGTCTACAGTGAAAATATTATCATTTTCACTTGTCAGAGATATTAACCCTGAGAATAAAGCAACGCCCCCGTCATAAAACTGCGGGACGAGTCTTCCATTGTCAAATGTCAATGACAGTTGCACTTGTGCCACAAGGGAATTCTCCACTCCTGACAAAGTTTGGTTGTTATCAGGGAGTAACACAAAGTTAGTAATGTTTGTCACAGTCACTGAAGAGCTCTTAATAAATATGCCGAGATTTGTAGTGTCCACATTACCAAAGTTTCCATCGAGAACAGCAAAGCTTGGCGTTGCACCAGACTTGACTGTTACGCGGTTTGCAGCCTTTTGTCCGACAATCACGTCTGAAGATCTGGATGAAAATGACGTCACTTCGTGTCCTGTGATGTCATAGTTTGAAGAATCACTCAAAACCATTACTAGGCTCAGTGACGCCATTTCGTGCGCGTTTGTATTAGCGATACGGCTGAGCGAATCGATGTGAGGAGCTCCAGGATAGGGTGGGTAGGGCTTGGCAAGTAATACCAGAGCTGTGTAGGTCACGATGTTGATTGAAACAGAACTCGTGACTGAGAAATGAGTAAAACGTACTACGAGATCCTTTTTGCCGGACTTGCCTCGTGAGTTTGGTGTAATGATAGGAGTGTTGTTATGACCACGCTGTACACTGAAAAAACCTTCAGACTTGCTCAAGTCATACACAGTCCTCGAGTCAGAGCTCATGTCCACTCGATAATCGTTCTCAAACACCAAGGTCACTGATATGGGACTTGATGTTGGTATCCCTGCTACAGTGGACTTGTCTCCGGGGAAAGTGATCTGTGGACTGACGCCGTTTACTTCAAGTCTCACTGGAGGTGACAAACTTACATTGGTCACTTCATAGCCCACTCCAAGGCTAAATCCATTTGGATAACAACGGCTGGGAGGCAAGAACCAATCAGCTTGAAGAATTCCAGACCCAGATCCGACAGACACTGCTTCTGATTGGCCAGTGATTCTGAGTACGTGGATTTGAAGTGACTTGAACTGAAGGCCGAGTGCAGAGTTCAGTTTTTGTCGTCTACCATCGTTAAAAGTGACGCAAGCGACGAGCGCACCACTTGTGTAATCACGACGCAGATCTTGGTGAACAAATGCCTCCGCCGTTTGTGTTGACAATCTCGGATAAGGCGGGTCAGGAATGATGACACTTAGATTGGTTACCATGACAATGTCGATCAGTTGAACAGCGACTCGCCTTGATGAGGTCACCTTGATTTCAGTACTAGCTAGGAAATTACTGGTCAGCGGATTTACGGCTCTGATGACAGTTTGACCGGGGGACATTCCGTACACGTTTCCGAAGTTGTCCACAGTCGCTACAGACTCATTCAGACTTTTGAGAAGATCACGAACTAAACTTGTCGTCGATATGTTTTCAAAGTGGACTTTATCGTAAGTGAACTGGGCTTCAGACTCGACTCCAGTCCATTGATATCGCTGATCACATTTACCGCTATTTGCATTGAATTCCAACCAACCAGAGACTTCTGCGAGCTCCGTGTGAGGCAAAGTCAGCTTCAGTGGCAGAACAGGGAACCATACACGAACTGATATGATGGTGTTTATTTGACCAAATTGGACTTTAACTTGTGCTTCTGCTGATCCTCTGGGCTCGCTACCGTTAAGAAACAAGTTTGAACAGTTCTTAGTTACTTGCACAGCTTCTGATAAACTCGTGCAATTTGCTTCTGGAAGCAGGATGACATCACCCGATCTTTGAATAGCCAAAATTGTGATATTCGCTGTCACGATCCGTCCATCGATGACAGCTGTGTTTACTAAATCAGCGGACTCAGAGTATGCTCTTAGTTCCTTGACACTATTAGCAGAAAGTCGTATCATCCCTGTCGTGTGTCGAGATTGGTTGAAACCATCGAGCATGGCCACCATGACTGGATGTAGTTGGCCACCGATCTGAACTTCCTCGTTGTTGATATTACTGAGGTAAGTCAGCTGTCAAAGGAACAAAAAATCCACATTGTTTAGTCAAGGTATTATCTTTTTGTGTCGGTTTGTTGTTTCATTCTCCACACGGAATGATCCCAATTTGCTCATCATCATTATCATTTCTGCTGCAACAAGCCATTCACAGTGTCAATGTAAACATAGCAATATTGTCCAGAGTAGTGATTTTTTTAACTTTAAAAAAACCTTTCATCAATCGAATTTAGGTTGTGTTTCAAGTGCAATATTATAATCATTGTCACTTTTTTTGCTCCACAATTACAAATTTACAAGAGAGACACTTACTATGGAACTCACTATGATGATATTTCATGGAGCAAAAATTAACACTTAAGTTTGTTAAACTTCAGATACACAACAAAACGAAGGCGACAGGTGTCTTGTAACCGATACGACTTGATCCTCCAAATAAATGGCTTGAATGTACAATGAATACATATTGGAAAGCAGTCATTACTAACCTCGGCAGTAACTGTTGCGCTTGTATTAACAACAGCTGTGTCCTGTACCTTGACATCAAAGCTGACAAGTTTCGCTTTTTTGACGAATCCCTGAGGAGCTGCCTCAGGATCAGTTAGTGTGGCACTCACAAACCATTCAAAAGAGCTGCGATTGACAGTAACATGGGCCCAGCGCTGACTATCAACTTGTGCTCCAGTGATGACAAGTGACGGACCAGTCACTATCCTTACTCCAAACGAGGCTACAGCATAGGATGAGTCACAGTAAATTGAAAAGCTGAATACCCCGCCTACTAACACCGTGTCAAAAGGAAGTATACCGTATACGTCATTTGAAAACAACTGCGTTTTGCTTCCTGGATGAACTGTGACGTTACCTAGAAACGTGGGAGACTCAAAAGAGTTACGCAGACGGTACGTGATGGTAAGAACTTCAGGATCAACAAGAGAGGGGTCTGAGAACCATTTCGAAGGTAAGGGAACTTGTATCTCGGTAATTCCCGTAGATCCACTTGGCTTTGCGATCGACTGCAGTAAAAACAGAAGAAAGAATTAAACAATTGATCACTACTACAACTATATAACTAAATTAAAGCCATGCGATCAAACAAGAATAACACATTGACTTACTTCAAATAGGCTCAAAGTGACTTCAGGCTGTGAGAGTGGACAAATATTACTGGTTCTGAATGTAAGCAGACGCGGCAAAAGAAGATCATCAGCATACATGAAAGAGACTTACTTGTAAGAGGCTTCCATTGATGGCTAACAGCTTAGCACTGGGCTCAACTTTGACAACAACTTCACTTTTATCCACCAATGTGCGAACATTAAATGAGGAGTCCTGCACCTGCGCAATAACACGCACCACAGGCCTGTCCCAATACACATTCGCGCTGACCAGTATAGCCTTTACATGAGTCGCTGGTTCTCGCGTTGTCGAATAATTTGCTTCTGCACTCACTTTTCCAACAAAAGCGCGAACACTTCCTTTACTTCCTGGATAACCATTTAAGAAGAAACCAAGCTGCAGCGCGCGATTTGACGTCCTCCCTTGAAGATAACCTAATTTCTGTGTTTCAAAATTCACTACAGTCCGCGAGTCTAAGGTGGTGCGAGTTATAACCTTGATTAATACAATTGTTTTCGAACTGTTGACTTGATGTTTTGCGCCGCCTTGAAGTTGGGCTCCAACAAGAAAGCGGAATGTACTGTCCAAGGCAACATAAGTTTGAAGTTTAAAAACTCCTGTTGTGTTTTCAATTTGAAAGAACCGCGAGTCATTTCTCTCTATTATGAAGTAGGATAATGGAAGATAACCCGAGCATGGACTTCTGGCGTGAACTGTAAAGCAATTAATGCAAAAGCTTCGAGTAAGAATATTGGCTTTATGTAAGCCTAAATCTTATAATCTTCGTATTAAAAAAACTTGATGCACCTATCAAGATACGCGGTTAATAATTGTTATCGTGCAACGTCAATGAAATGTACATTATTTAGGGGGGGAGGTGTTAAAAGTGACGTGAGGAATGAGATAAGATGATACCCAATAAAACTGGATGACTGGAAAGAATCACGTAAGAAATAGATATCTGACATAGAGAGAAGGAGAAGCCTGGAAGAGTTTGAAGCGATAGGAAAGAAGAACTTTAAGAATTTTTGGAACAATCTAAAAGGTAGGTTTCTCTTAAGAGGTACAGACTTCTTTTTACTTTCGTTACTTCTCCTCTATATTACTACGGTACGTTTTTTTTAAGGACAAAAGGGAGTTCAAACAATCCAGCTGCAGTCGGGTAAAGATTTATTTCTCAGTGATGTTTTTACAGTTGGTTAATCTCAACAGAGTACGATAGAATAAAACCTGACAGTGTTATATAGCAAAACTTTACCTTGCAGTATTGGTACCCCAAGTGGCGTTTGATCAAAGATACTCCTCATGTAGTAGTGGTTGTCAAATATCAGAGTTTCACTGCAGTTTGGCGGTCTGGTAATGGCGCCATCACAAACACAGGAACTTTTCACCGGCAAAGGACAAGAGCAATTTCTTCCAAAGACTTCAAGTTCAGAAACTGCAAAATAATCTGTTTTTTCTGCTGAATTTCCCAAAAATGACATCATTGTCAATCTAACATGAGTGGCAAATGAAAAAACCTGAAGAGTTAGATTTGTTTCAAAACTATTTGATGCTGGCCTTGAAGACTGAAGTAAATAAAACGTTACAATCTCGTCGGGGACTGGGTGTGAAAATCTTTCGACACAATTAGCACTGTCAGGAGAGTCCAGTCTCCCTCCAGCTTCCATATTAAAAGTTGATTGACAGTCTTGGGAAAAGTATTGCAGTGGTACCCATGTTTCCCCATAGTCGGCAGATTTAGAAAGAACCATATCCCTTGGTGGCCACCATTTGAATGATATTTTCACAACTAAGACTTGTTTCACACCACCAAGGCTGACTGTAAAATTAAGTGGAACTCTTGTTCTCTTGGACTGCCACCATGTACTAAGGTTTCCATCATTACCCATGCCTTCCAAGTGTGCCTGGTTACTTACACGCCTCACTGTAATGTTGCTTTTCGGATTGACACAATAAAGACCATCTGGGTCCAAAGACACCATTGGGTAGTCCACATTACATCTACAATGTCCTGCTAGGCGGGGCTTCTGTGGGGTTTGCTGTGAAGCATCTGTCTTGATTTCTAAAGGAAGGAGTGGTCCCATATGAAGATGAGAACCAAGCTCTCCTGAAGAACAAGTATATTATAAAAGAATCATGACTAAAGAACTGAAATACTGAATTAAGGGGAGGTGGAGGGGGATGGAAGGGAGGGGATGGGGGGGCGAAGCCTGTGAATGGGAATTATGAACTCACAGATCTGTTTTACACCTACAGTAGGAACTCTGCATGGTGTGAGTTTATCACAATGTGAGCCAGATGTTTGTGTTTGTAAGTGGCAGGGGTGATCTAAAACCCAGTGTGCAAGTGAATCTCATTACAAGTTTGTAAATAATTACCAATTAAAACACAAAGGACTCATCTGTGACATAGAGGGGAAAACAGTAATGTACTGACAAAGTCTGTCCGATCTTCTTTACCAATTTTAAATTAAAGTTAGCATCCCCCATCAGATCTCCTTGACAAGCAGAGTCTTCAATACCATTCAAAATTTGTCTACAATCATCTACCAAAAAGGGCCAGAATTCTGTTAATTTGTGAACTTAAAGATAATTACAAGCACTGACCTCCCCAGTTTGTCACAAACTACTCTGTCATGACACAATCAACTACCCTGAAGACACCTCTGCCACCAACCTCTCCACCCTTTCCTCTGATCAGCACATGGAAAGCATGATCCACTTTGAAAATTTAATCTGTAAATTTCTCTAATGGCAAAATTTTAGTAACTTATGTTGCATACCTTTAAAGTAATCATCTTGTGAAGCATTTGCTCTCCCCCCTAAGAGGATAATTCCACTTCTGTTCCAAATATTTTTATAAGTGATCTCTTCAGCAACAAGCCTTTTATCCATGTACAGTTGTATAACAGAACCAAAGAGTACCACTGCAATGTGATGACATTTTCCATCTGCTAGACTGTTGTTGAAGTGCAAACTGCTACTTAAACCACTTGCATTCATATATTCTAGAACTATCTCATGGTCAGTTTTGCTGTCTGCCGACACTGCAAATAGTATACTACTGTTGTCCTCTTTGCTTATGATTTTGCTAAAAAGGAATTAATTGGAATTGGATGTTAATAATTTGAGGTATTACAGTGCTAGCTATCAAGAAAGAGTGCCTGTTTTATTTACCAGTAAGCCCTGATCTGTTTTCACTAACTTCTGCTTTGTTATTCAGATTCCTTAATTTCAACAACTATTAGGCACAATCATTTCATGAACAAATTGTGACCTTTGTGTTATGATTTTTTCACAACCTCTGTATGGAGTTTCCTGTTACTCATAAATTTGGTATTTGGGGACTAAGAGAGTAAAATGACTTCACATCAGCCTCAATATGATCATTAACTTATTACATGATAGCTGAAATGGACAAATGCATTAATGTGGTCAACTACTTACCCTTGGTCCCCTGGGTATTGGCTCAGATGGATGGTTAGTGTCATTCCTTCAGATTCCCCAAATATCAGCAAAAACTCTGTTGACTTGGAAATAAAACCATTGGTGCCATTGAACTGAACAGTTGTCAATTCTTGTCCCTGGCAAGCTCCACTTGTATGATTTGTAAACATTACCTGTAATAGAAATGTTATGGAATAACATAGTTTATATTTCTGTTAAGGAAAGCTTTCAGTAAGTCAGGTTGGGGTCAGCAGGTGAGCCAAGTGGCTCATCTAGCTAAAGCTTACCCCACTTCCTATATCATGAAGTAACTGGAAGTATTACCTCACACCCTCCCCCCCCTCCCCCCACCCCATCCTTGATGGGATGCTGATGTGATGCATAGCAAATCCATAACAAGTCACCCCCTTGAACTGCATTAGGTTTCCTGAGAGTTAACCATTACCAGTTTTAATACATCATGTTGAGCCTGCAAGGAAAGCACAGCAAAACCACTTTGAACAATGTTAACAATTGTTGTTAATTGGTGTTAAGATTTTTTCTTCATCTTTCTTAAGGCCCTAGCAATGATCCTTATGTCTTGAAACCAAATTTAATAGGGTATGGAGTTCTAAAGTGTTGTAATTCCAATGCAAAATTAGTAGTGGAGGGGTGAGGGAAGGAGCCCAGCACACAAGCTGTACATCCGGATTAAAAAAAATTATTTCCTTATTTTTCAATTACGTCGATTTAACGAAGTTACACAAAGTGAACAATTTCACTTTGAAGAGAATGAGTACTCAACTTTCCACTACAGTTGCGAGCAGATGAAGCTTGAATATAATCATGTTAACTAGCACACCGACGATTATCAGTGTAATTATTCCGACAAATCTTTCAGACTACCTAAAAACAGCTAATGTGTGCATAAACAAACAAAAAGTACATGGCTTATTTAAAACAATTTACGTATTACAATGAATCAATGCTAAAATATTGTTTTGATTGTGTCTCGCATACCTATCACAAAATCTACAAAATTTTACACTTTCGAATTTTTAAGTAGAGTATCTATCACTTACTTGGCCGTGAAACATTCCCGTAGCAACAATATCCAGGCTAACTGGTTCATTTCTCCCGAATGGACAATCGGCTTCACAATAATCAAACTTCTGACAACGATGGAAACGATCAACAGCTAAACAGAATTCATCATTTCCTTGCAAACCACAAGTATCGTTTGCCGAAACAATCGCTTCTTGATAAAGTGCGAAATTTGTTTGTGCAAAAGCGAGCGAAGCACCTTGTTGAATTAAAACACCCGCAATAAGTAATACCTGCAACACACCACTGGAGAGCATCTTTAAAACCTATTCACCGTTATTGATGTCCGATCGAGTTCACATGCAGGTCAGTTTATGCAGCCGGGCTGTAGAAATCAAAGAAGGCAAAACCATCATTAACTGTCAGCAGTCATAACGGCTTCACCTAGTCGCACCACACCAGCTAAGTTGACAGCAGACAGAGGAAAATCTGGCTCAGAAGCAGCATTCTGCAGACCACTTTCAGCTCAGCTGAGTTTAGCAGCGTTTACCTACGTACATAACAGATCCTTCACGTCCCGTAGTACTGCTTCTAGTTTGCAATCGCCCTGTTTTGGATACAGTACACTCAGTCGAAATGTAAAAACTTCACAAATATTCAATTGTCAATAATTGATTTCCTTATTTTCCTTGATGACAGCTATTGACCGAGCCGACTGGCTGTCAGCGGTAGTTACATAGAAACATTCTGCAAGCGCTTAGTTCGAATGCTCAAAATGGCGGACTACGGGGTAAAAACCATGCAAAGATTTGCCCCTTTAAAACCAAGTGCTACTCCCGTAATAATAATCTATACGGTTTCTAAACGTAGTGACATAGTTCTGCTGTCAAATTGCAGTCATTTTCTTTATATTGTAGTGGACGATAGCGTAGCAGTAAGTATATATTTTAAACAAATCTACATTTAGACAGTGGATTACTCGAAAAGTCATTTCTCAGGCCTATGAATGAGACTTTCCATTAAATAGAACCTCGAGTCAAACGGGGAACATAACAATGTGAAATTTTTTCTTTCTTTTGTAGCACACTTTTCGTTTTCCCAGTCTGGTGACCACTGTTCGTATTCAGGAACGTAACGCTGCTGGAAAAACACAGATATTAGTTGGGACAGTGGATGGCCATATTTTTGCGGTCTTCTTACCAGAAGATCTGACCAAAAGCAGCAGGTGAGATATTAATCTGGTACTGTTTCAGCCAGTGACAGTCAAACTACATTTTGGGGTAATTGTGAGGAACAACTCCCTGAAAAAACTCGTAGGCTGACAGTCAGCAGGAACTGTCAGCCAACTGCTCTGCTTAAACTCGTGTACTGAGTCAGTATCTGTCTGTGATATTTATCATCTAAACTTCAGTGCACTTAGACACTACACTGAATTAGGTTAACGCCTTAGGAAAAGCTGTGGTCCCTTAGTGGAAGTTAGGAACCGTGCATGACTTAAGTGTTTAGGTTTTTTTGTGTGATACAACTGCCCGTCAACTCCTGTATTTTCAGCCTCTCCAACTTATATCTGGCTCACATCTGTAAAACTGACGAGAGAAGACAAATATTGATAAAGAAAGATGGAAGTGAATTTTCACAGAGGTGACTGTGATTAGGCCTGAAAACCAGAAAACTTGATCCAGAATCCTACACACTGACTGTATTGATACAATGTCTCCAAATTACTTGTATGTTGTGATTCAATTTTATGTGTGGTTCAAGTTTTATATTTAGAATTCATTTTCACACAGTAGCTTTTTCTGCAAAATTTAAATTTAAGGTTAAAGACATTTGCTGATCCTACTCCAGATGTTACTAGTGAGATGGCAAAACAAAAGAAATGTGGTGATTGTGATATCTTTGGAGAACTACTTGCTGGTGTAAATATTGATGTTACAGAAACAGTGAATAAACAATCAGTCAGAGCTAATAAATGTATAACATTTGTTGATGTGGAAAGTGCAGTCCTATATGAACCAAAGTTAAGAACATTTATTACCATTGAAGAAAATATTGTGTGTTGCAGAGCACTGGAGCAAGGCTATTTGTTGTCTGTGTTTTGTCCTACTTCACAGCAAAATGATCTTGGTAAGATGGTGTATGCACCACTTCCAGTATTCAAAGGGATAATAACAGTTGAATCAGAATCACAAAATACATGCAGTTGTTTGTGGAATTATGTTCCTCAGCTGTGTTGTGTTCAAGCCAATGGCAATGTTTCATGTCTGTCATCATGTCTTACCATAAAACGGTCTTTATTTAGCAAACTTTTTCACTGTGATGCATCTCTTTTGGACACCCCAGTCATTATCTTTGGTTGTGAAGATGGGCAAGTGTTATTTTGGCCTGTGAACAGTTTTGCTCTTACAAATGCAAACTCTGAGGCTAATGTCAGTGAACATCAATTTTCACCTCAGCTGATATACCATATGGAACAAAGAGTGATAGCGATATATGCAGCAAGGCTTCATTATCCAGAGGATTCATCAACATGTCCATCAACTGCAAATGAAACAGAAGTGAGGAATTGCAAACACAAGCAAGAATCTGATGACTGCTGCAATGCCTTAGTTTTTGTTGGAGGTTGTGACAAGATTATAATTGTATCTGATGAAGAACATCTGTCAGAGAAGTCAGAAGAAGTAAAGAAAATTAATTTTACATGGCACACAATTGTTGGCCCTGTTCTATGTTCCTGCTTGAGCAGCAGCCATGACACACTGGTACATTCAACAGGTAACGAAATCTTTGTCACTAAGTTGAGCCTCAACTGTGAGATGAATGCAGCAAGGTCAGCAGCAATGTTATCCTCAAGCAAGCTGACTGTACAGGTACCAAATGTGTCTGTGCTTTGTTGTGTAAATAAGAAAAGGAAGGGAAATGGCACAAAGAGGCAGGTGTATGCTCTTACTGTCACAGGAAAACTTGTTTTGCTTCTGTTGCCAGAATTGCAAGATGGAGAACAACTTATTGGGTCTAATGTCTCACCACAAATGGCTGGTGAAAAAGTGAAGAGTTACTTAAAAGAGATTGAAACTCAGACTGCAGAGCTGGTAAGAATTAATGAAAGCAGAGAAAGTTCAAACAGTACTTTGAAGGAGCTTAATAAAATTATCCACATTGTTAGTCAGGTTACCAAGAAGGCAGGAGACACTATGTTCCCTTTATTGTGTTGTTTTACACCTGGTGTTGTGTGCCAGAGCTCTTGTGGGCATACTTCATTGTCACTGCACTGCAAAGTTATTAACCAGGGCAATCTAGTGTTGTCACCTTCCTGGTCACTAATGGTTCGCATACAAGGAAAGGAACCTTGGCAGAGTTGTACCTATCCAGCAGCTTGTTTTATGGGCCAATCAATGCCACTGAGAACCACTCATCCAGGGGAAGTCACAGAGATGAACATTCCTCTTAACAAGTCTTTCCCTTCATCAGGTCACATTATTGTAGAAGGGTACCTGTATTGTGATTTGAATTCCTTGCTTGCTGATCTCAGAAATGGAACAGATCCAACGCATTTCTTTCAGATACCAACTAAGAACATTGTGATACCAGTTGGAAAGAAAGTTTTTGACATCCTTCATTTGATGCAAATGACTCAATCAGGGCCACAAGCTCAAACAAACTGCACCATTTTAGATTCAAATGAAGAGGTTTTTCAAACTATAGAGAGACTTAATTCAACAATCAGCAATGTAGTAAGTAGAAGTATATTTGGCCAGGATACAGAAGAGATTGCAGAGGAACCCACAGAAATTAGAAACTACTCAGCAGCTTTCATTGTTTCTCAAGATGCCATAAATTTCATGACCACAACAATTAAAAATGACCTTGCTCTGAAGGAAACTCTTCAAACAGAATCTCTTTCGCCGCAAGCTACATTCTTTCACTTCATCTTCATGGACTCAAGCATTGCTCACCAACAAATTGATGTGGAATGTTCTCACATAAATCTGCTGAGTGTGAATGGTGGTCATGCATCCATACACATTAAACCTGTAAGTGGAATGGAAAAATCCACCAATGGTTCTCCTTTTGAAGTTGAATTACACTGTACACATGTGCGCTTGCTGTGTCATCTTCATGGAGCCATATTAACAAGATTGAAGGTAAACTAATACAGAGGGCAATGAACAAAGTTCAGCAAACTTTCCTTAATGAGTGTTCTAATTAGACAAATTTGATGGGTTTCTTTAATAATAGTAATAGAATGATAGTTACAACTCCAATGATACAAAATATAATGACGATAATAATTATAACAGAAACAGCAACAACAAAATGTTGTTGGTAATGAAAATAGTAATGTGATACATTTTTTTTATTAGCCTGTTATCACACATAGGACCAGTAGGAGTCAAATGCAAGAATATGATGTACAGAAACAGTTGAAAAAACTACAGGTAACATTTTGCCTTATTACTTTTGTAATTAACCAATATACTATTGACCGAGTTAAAGAGTCTATGTTTTTAGGTGTTATTCTTGACAAAAATTTGTCATGGAAACTGCACATTGCTCATATTGCCAGGAAAGTTTCAAAATCCACTGGTATAATCTATAAAGCTATGGTCTCTGCCTACCTACTTCAACTTTATGTACCCTGTACTATAGTCTTGTTTATCCCTACTTACTTTATTGCATTACGGTATGGGGCTCAACTTATCCATCCAGAAAAGGGTGGTACAAATTATATCAAGTAAGTACTTTTAACCCTCATACTGAACCCATATTTAAGCAGTTGAAAATTCTTAATCTATACAATATGTATTGATTTCAAATAGGAAAAAACATGTTTTTGTTCAAGATAGGCCATCTTCCTGATTTTTTTCTTACTTTTCTCACGCTGCTTAAGTATATATTTGTTTGAGAGCCTGCAATTGTTGTTGTTGTTTTATGTGTGTGTGTCCTTTCCTTTTTAACCTTAAATATTTTGTACCTTAATCATGCCATAAAACTGATGCCACACTTCTGTAAAATATGAGGTGCCTGTAGCTCATATAAGCCCCTTGGTTTCCCTACGGGTTTCCTCGCCTCTTGCTAAATCTTCTGCTATATCATATTAATGTATATATAATTCTTTTTTATTTCTACTAGTGTATCATAATTACAAAATGGCAAAATAAAATAAAAAAGAAAAAATGAAAAAATTTTAAAAAATTGTAATAATGAAATTCTTCAGCCAGCTTGTAAATTGTCATTTGATTGGCCACCCTCTGTCATTGTTACATTTTGATATATTTATTCCTAAGGATTTCCACCAATGTGTCATTTTGTTGGAAGATGAGATGTCAATGGGGACAGATAAATGGGAAACAATCATCATCAAGCGGAAAGTATGGGCTCTGTATGAGAAAATGAGAGGAGTCGTGCTCATGATATGACATTTATTAGAGATAGAATTAAAAGAGAAAGCTTCAGGTGTATTTTCTAAAATTCAGTTCATGTGGAAACATTTTAGAATCGTTGTTGAAAAAATTCGTAAGATGATTTGCACAGTTACATCTCAACGACAAGCTGTAAACACCTGATGCGTACAGAAGGACTTAAACAAATCAAACTTGGGATCGTTTAATGCGGCCATTTTTTTACCTTGACTTTCCGTTTTTATATTGTAATAACATTACATGTTTAACGGTTTGGGTTTTTTTTCTCACCTAACATTGTTTGATTAGTTGAAGTACCGGTGTTATTACGAGTGCAGTACTGCACAAAGGTCCTAATTGAAAGAGGATAATTTGGTTTTATGAACTGTGTTGATAATGTGAGTTGGCCAAAGTGAAGAGATTCAAATGCTGACGTTTGAAGCGTTGGCCATTCGTCAGAAAAAATCCAAATTCTTCGCTCTGACGAAGGGCTTACGTTCGAAACGTCAGCTTTAAAATCCCGTTACTGTTGCCAATTTACTTATCCAACATACATATATAAAGACCCAATCCAGCTCTGAATCCTTTAAGTAAAATTTGGAAATTAGACGTGTTTTATACCACTTTCAGAACTTGTTTGGTTTTTATTCTTATAAATGCGTTCCTATTTGTGGTTTGTCATAATTACTCGTTCGGTAGGTTCAGACAAAGGAAAAGAAATTAAATCAGTGTGTGAGGTTTGTCTTTGCTGAACTCCTAGCCGTGCATTCAAGATGATACGTGGGTCTAATTATTCTTATAGCATTGACTTGCATAACTGAGAAATGAAGCTCTACTATTTGCCTTGAGTTGTCGTGACTGAAATTAATAGAATGACCCCTTTTTGCAATGCAGCTTCCTGTACTGTAAATAAAGACATACGAGGAAGAACTACAGTGTCTCCTTAAACTTTAGAGAAACGGATTTAGAAATTTGCAGAGGTTTTAAATTCCCGTTGAGTCTAGGATGAGTAGAGATGACATCTAATTATAAATTTTAAAAAGTGTTTCAACATTAACATAAATGTTCTTTGCCATTTTCTTGAAATGTCACTTGCATTTCGCTTTGCGTGCGAAACACGCACGAACAATAAAAAAGTGTTTTTTGTGTTCTTTACTTGGTTTGATGTGTGTTTGCGATTTTTTTCTCCTGTTCTTTCTTTGTCCTAACTCTGTGAGCTTTTAAATTTCAACTTTTTCTTATTCAAACGAGGTTATTAGAGTTACCTTACGAATACAAAGTATTCAAATTTACGCAAGAAGCAATTAGATTTATCAAGTGCACACTTTGCGAAGAAAGTTGATGCTAACATCATCAAATAAAGCTTTAATCAAAGGAATTTCGTAATACGCTAAAAAGGTCTTTTCTTTTAATATCCTATAACATGAACATTTCTCGAGAAACTCGTTAACACTAAATGATCTTTAAAAAGCTGCTGTGAAATGTGTAAATAGTGCCTTTTTCAGGCTCTAGACAGGAGTGTCGAAACGTTGGGTCTATGAATTGTAACTTCTTCGGTTACATTTATTAAATCTGTAAACCAGAGAAGCATCAAACCATGTCTGATTGTCCACCTGGTTGCCGTGTGAACTTTAATATATTTTAGTTATTTATCGTTCACGGCTAATTTGGAAATTCTCCTCCACAGCTTAAAACAGTCAAGTAGTATTTACAGGGGTTCTTTATTCTTAGAGGAGATCGATTTTGTGAAAAGTTAATAAAATGTTCCAAACAGTTTACAGTGCGTGAGTGTCAGTGCATAAGTGTTATCTCTTGATATTAGTCATTTATCGATTCATGATGCTTTCAGGCCATACAGCTTGTAATTATGACTGAATGGCGTTTCCCTGAAAAAGAAAAGATCATCACATTTAGCATTAATTGCCTTTAACCTCATACAACTTTCCGCACAGAAAAAATTAAAACAGTGAAGCAAAAGGTAGAGTGCCTCTCTAAATTCTGAAAATTGTCGATTAATAGATGTTGGAAGATAAGGTTGCTGGATTCAGTTTCAATAAAATCAAACAGCTCATATCCATGGTACCTCTATTGTACTGTTTCTATTTTCCATTTTCATTTTGTGTTTACCTGCGAAACGTAACACTAAATATCGCATAAAAGCGCAACTTTCCTCATTGACCATCCTTACACGAACGCTTAATTACAGCTTTCAGCGCGCACAGACTACCGACACCTCTACCTATCGGGACAAAAGGACATTAAAATATTAAATGTGATAATTTTTAAGTTGACGACTTTGATCACTTTCCACGTTCATTTTCGCAAATACAAAGAAACTGACTGCTTACCATTTACAGCAAGCCGCTGCAAGTTTCATTCAAATACAAATACAAAAAATGAATTCAATCAGCAAGTGTGATATTCAGAAGTTCCCTTTTCACCTGTAGTCTCCTGACACACCAAGGACTATTTTATGAAATGAGAAAGATATCATGATTCATGAAGCAGCAATTCTTTTTATTCTACATGCGAGAGAAGCAAATATGCCATTCATCGCTAAAACAACCTATTGCAGATTTTATTTCACTTCAATGAAGTTTCATTCATCTTTATTAACGTGCAAGGACGCAGAGTTACGGAAAGTCACCCTGAGTCAATGTTTCTTCATAATGATAAATTTTCACTTTGACTTCCCACTGACTGAACAAAGTGATAAATATTAGCATATGAAATTAAAAGACAACGATTGAATCCATTTTAATTTCAAGATCGATTAGCTAGAAGAGCTGTTTAAATAATCATCAGTCCAGCTGTTGGGTAATCTAAATGACCTATCAGAGTTACTCTGTCAAGGGAGTGCATTTGATTTGGATCTATCTGACCCCATCTTTAACTGACCCGTTTTCACTTTTCTGTATGAAAACTTTTTTAATAATCTTTTTTTTATTTTTCATTGGATAACATTAGGTCACACAGGCAGCGCGTCAATTTTTATTCACAAGTCATGACCTATGCAACCATTTTGTCATGTCAACGTTATTTTAAAGTCTTTTTCGTGAAGCTGATATGTGCTCGATATAAAAGTAGCTTATTTGCCAATGGACTCAATAGGCTATCTCGTTTTGCGAATAACGAAGCTAAGGAAATATCTTAGTCAAAAGCAATTATGTACAATAGGAAACGCAAACTTTGCAAAGAACAGCCACTTTTGAACTCGAAAACCCTCTAGATGTATTTTTCATTCAAGAGTGGTCTTTGTCCTGGGTATAAGTATGGTTGCCTTATGAAGACACGGTGTTCTTTTCCTGAAGCAAGTAGTTACGAGTTCCTACCGGACTATGTTTGATCACTAGATAAAAGGAGAGTGAATTAGACCAAAGTGATTGGAGCCCTTCTTTATTGACATCTTTGATCGTAAAGTACATACGGTATTTGGTCAACCGCAAATATATTTACCCAACGATAATATAACCAAGGAAGTATATGAATGATCAGACCGTTCAGACCCAATAATTCAGGTGAAGGCCAACAACTTGACAAAGAGCTGGATCTCAGTTCCGCTGTTCTGCAAGGGAAAGATATCATGATAATGAATGAGGTGAGGTTTGTCTTCGCCGAGTTCATAGCACTATAATCAAGCTATAAGGGTCGGCAGGGTTAAATTAGTGAAGATCTTAAGTCAGAAACATAGAAATGCAGGAAGGAAGCTGGTGTTTTTGTTCCTCTTCTTTTTAATTCGCCTAAACTTAACTTGACAAGAGAACATGAGTTTTTCCACAACTGCGCATAAACTCATAGTAAATATAAATCTCTTGTACTCACTTCGAACCCAGACATAGACTGGGTAGGCCAGGTCATTTTCATTGGTGTAGGGTTCCGCCAATGACAAATCCGTACACTCGAAGCATGCGTAATTGTATTCCTCCCAGAATTCAACAGCTGAGCACCTTGAGTTCGATTCCAAACATAGCTGCTGACATTGTACCTCGTCGATTGGATCAGTCGTGGATGAGTATAGAAGAGATCTTCCGTTGACTGTGCACCAGGTAGTGTCTGAAGAGTATTTGGTCCACACTGAAAAGGCATACTCAGAATATCAGACATGCTTTGATGGTTATAGATCGCTTAATGTGCTTTGCCATTCGTATCTTAGCAACATCTTTTCATTTCACAAAAACAGTCTTAGAGGTACTGAATCATGAAGGAAGCTGGTGTTTTTGTTCCTCTTCTTTTTAATTCGCCTAAACTTAACTTGACAAGAGAACATGAGTTTTTCCACAACTGCGCATAAACTCATAGTAAATATAAATCTCTTGTACTCACTACGAACCCAGACATAGACTGGGTAGGCCAGGTCATTTTCATTGGTGTAGGGTTCCGCCAATGACAAATCCGTACACTCGAAGCATGCGTAATTGTATTCCTCCCAGAATTCAACAGCTGAGCACCTTGAGTTCGATTCCACACATAGCTGCTGACATTGTACCTTGTCGATTGGATCAGTCGTGGATGAGTATAGAAGAGATCTTCCGTTGACTGTGCACCAAGTAGTGTCTGAAGAGTATTTGGTCCACACTGAAAAGGCATACTCAGAATATCAGACATGCTTTGATGGTTATAGATCGCTTAATGTGCTTTGCCATTCGTATCTTAGCAACATCTTTTCATTTCACAAAAACAGTCTTAGAGGTACTGAATCATGAAGGAAGAGGAACCTTCATCAGCTTAATACCTCATCACTTCGGAAATAACCGTGATACAGTAATAGCCCAAATTTAGAAATCAGGGTTAGTAGGCTCGCTGCAGGTTTCTCTGGACGACTTTCTGTATAAAATAAACCGGCTTCATTTATTTTGTTAAGTAACGACTTCATCCTTGGGGTTTTAAAAGCCAACTGTACAGTGTTCCTAATGAAAGGAAACGAACAAGAACTCAATTGCTCTCAAGTTTTGAGGTGTGAAGCGACAAAGAGTATAAGCCGTCCCTCCTCTCCCCTCTCCTCCCCTCAGATGAAATGCTTATGTACTACAGGTTACCCTCAGCTTTTCGTCGCGTTTTTGTGGTCCTTCGCTGTTACCGTTTTCATCTTTTGGGCGGAGAAAAGTTATATGAGAGTAAAGAGTTCAGTCTGCCATCTATCTCCCTGACTTCGGTGAATGAATGTGTTGTAAAAGCCAGCTACATCTTGACACATACACACAGAAGCAGGAAATATGAAGAGAAAATGAACGTGACTTACCTTGCAGCGGCCGCGGTGGCGGCGGTGGTGCGTTCATAAGATCCCTGACTGGCTCATCACCCATTCCGTTTACAGGAGGTAATGCTTTAATTGAATCATACTGCATTCTTGGTTCATTTTCTTGACCATTGACTAGATTCCTCGACTTCATGCCTTCAAGTTGAAAAAATCCTTCAAAAGTAAGTAAATATTTACCTAAACGGAATTTTTTATTTCTGGTAAAAAATGAAAATAAATATGACCTACTTTCATCGGCTACTGGGTGTGCACCACGCAGTGGTGCGTTCATAAGATCCCTGACTGGCTCATCACCCATGCCGTTTACAGGAGGTAATGCTTTAATTGAATCATACTGCATTCTTGGTTCATTTTCTTGACCATTGACTAGATTCCTCGACTTCATGCCTTCAAGTTGAAAAAATCCTTCAAAAGTAAGTAAATATTTACCTAATCGGAATTTTTTATTTCTGGTAAAAAATGAAAATAAATATGACCTACTTTCATCGGCTACTGGGTGTGCACCAGTGAGTCCGAGGAGGAAGAGAAAGCAAATAAAGGAGATCGAGGCCATCATAACAGGATGTAACTGATCTGACAAGAAAGTTTTAAATGAAACGATATTTAGAATTATCCTAGAGACTTCCACAGACTGAACTTTAAAGTAGATCAAAGAACGTTTGGTGGCTTTCCTCACGATTCATAGCCAACATTGATTGTCATTGACGACGTTCCTTTACCAAACGTGAGTTTCGCAACTGAACAAATCAAGGGCTATGATTATTTAACTTATCGAACCAAAAGATCATAGAGAAGCTTTTTGAGATAAAACATACAGAATACAGAATTTAAGTTACTAAGTCACAGCAGCTACAATCACGACATTGCTCCCCATACAAAAGAAGTTGCGAGAAACAAAAAATTTTGTCGAGTTTTAACTGGTGAAGTACGCTCCTATAAAGTTTGTTTAAAGAGCTGCCTTAGAATGTTCAAGAGCATGTTTTTGAAATTCTGATCACTTCATTCAACTCAAGTTAAGTTGTCATTGACATTTGATCTCGAGAAAAAACATGATTACCGAGTTTATCGTAGTTATGAGTGTAGAAACACAAAGTTAAATTTGCAGTGAATTCAATTGCTCTGCTTAAGTTTGCGATATTACGATATGTTGGAAAAAGTATTCGAGGTGTAATATGCATAGATGGGTAATTTTTGGTCTTTTCAGGACCGGACGCCTCAGAATAAGTCTGGGTATAATTGAAAAATCTTCCAATGGGGCTCCGTTTTCCGTTCCTGCATTTGGTTGGTAGTCTTGGAGGGAACCGAGGAAACAAGAGTAAACAGATATAAATTTTACACGAAAATTTTTTTTTAATTGTATCTTTTGCAGTGATATTAATAGTGGTCCAGTGTCCCTTTCTCATCAAGGAGGTCTAAACGCTTGCACTAAGAGGAATTTACCTTTGAAATATTTTCTTTAAAGTTGTAAGGATTTTTTAACTTCCATTCGCTATTTACCAAGTCAAAGAAGGTCTGGAAGCGAAACTTTCGGACGAATAACTTCAGTTTAAACACTTTTTTTCTGAGTAATTTACCTGGCTTCTTGATACTTGCTCGTCTTTGTTCTATTCCTTTTCTTTTGGTGACCAAACTCTGTGAACCTTCACGCTTAAATGCCCAATAAATTCTGTATGTGGGTGAGAAAAACTATTATTTGTATACACAGCTGGGAATTTGAAATTTTGTTTATTTGAACTAAGTGTAATTGTATTTCCCCATCGAATACGAATCATTTTATCTGCCGAACACCCAATCACGGACTAACAAATTCCCACAAATACCGATTCTGTAGTTATCCTGTAAAGGTTTGATCAAGGACGTTCTGTAACATGTATCTTCTAACTATAAAAATTTACAGCAAAAGTTAAGGAATTCCTGTGAAACGTATTAGAAAGCTTGCAAATTAATGCAAATTAGATTCTACGGCTTCTGTAATATTTCTTGTGGGTATAGTTGTCCGTATAGCATTGCCTAGTATGATAAAAAAAAAGACCTTTCTTTAGCTAAATGGCCCTTTTTACTTAGTAGCATTGCGCGCAATTAGTAACTTCCAAAATGTGCTTTTCTTGCACGACTGATGTTTCCCTGTTGCTTAAAATACTACTACACTCCTCATTAACAGCTCAGCTTACTTTTGCAAAGTTCGTTAGAATATGAGTGGGAGTTGTAGGTTCAGGTGGGGTATTAATTTTTTGTCTTATTTACTCGAATTTGCTTTATTTATCTAACAAAGCACTCAAAGCTACGAAACACGCAAGCAGATTTATCAAGAACATACTTTGACATGAAATCAGATTGTAACTTCATCATGTTAAGGTTCAATCGAAGACATTTCGTAGAACACAGGAACTTTTCTTCGAAATATCTTTTAATAAAAAAAATTTCCCTGTATTCTCGTAAACATCAATGATGTTTAGAAAGCCTCCGTCAAATGTGTAAATAGATCTGTTTCGTAATCTGCAAACTCATTAACATTCTTTTGATGGCTTTGAAAGGTTTCGCAGAATTTAGAGTGGATTCTCAAGCATTCTGTAAGATGTTTTATGGTTAACTTTTTTAACGACTAACAGTTCAAATATGTAATTTTTTGGGCCTAACGGCTAACGCAGCCCTAGATAACCCACTGCTCACCTTTTCACTTCACTGCGCTTTGTAATCGCGTAGAACGTTCTTTGCTTTTCAGTCATGCTAAGATTTTATCTCAATACTTGAATGGGTTTATCTTCCCTTTTACGAAAACAGCTTTGATATTCATCGTTCATGGATACGAGTTTGGGAAAGGCAAAGTGGATCATCAAGGAGGTATTAAAAAAAAAAACCCCAAGGTCAGCAGATTGGGTAATCCCACGTTCATTTGCTAGTTTTTTCAAGCTTTTCGTGTTGTCTAAAAGCTCTCAAGTTGCCGGAGCTGATTTTCATGATTGTTTTGTTTTGCCTAAATTTAAGATTTTGGGTTTCACTCTCAAGTGTTGAATCAGTGAGAACTCTGTGGGAAAAGCGCAGTGAGCACCGTTACTCTGGCAACTTAATTCGTACAGAGGTGTGTCCAACATTCGTTACATGCATTAGAATTCTAAGAAAAAGATGAAAATATTCATAAAAATAAAGAAATGCTTTAACGACCAGTATCGTCACTAACACTACTGCTGGGTTTCAAAAATAAACAGGAATTGAACAAAACAATACATTATATTACCACTTCTCTATCGTTACAAATCATAACTCACTGCACAACTCTCGACTGAATGTAACCATTTCACTTTGGTGTATTGACCAAATGACTATTCAAAATAGTCAATGGAGCTTTGTCAGCGCCTATGAGTCCTAAGAGGTGCCAGAAGGCTAATCGCAAAGTTTTCAGGTCACCAAGGAACATATCTTGTGAAAAGGAAAACTAGTATTATTCAAATGAAGCTTGATATTTTAATTAGAAATGAAATTATCGACTATCATTTCCTTCACAAGTAAAATATATTTTCTAAAGCCACAATATCGCGCTAGGTACAAGAGAGTAACCTTATTCTTGGAAAATGGAAGAAAACTGTTGGATTTTTGGAAATTTTTGTCAGTACAAGGACATGATCTCTACTTGAACCGACATAACACTGCTCGACATTAAAGACTGATGTTTGCTAATAACTTATAATAATAATAATAATAATAATACAAAAATTTCTATAGCACTCTATTCTAGAGCTCTAAGGCGCTTCACAATAAAATGTTTAAAGCAATAACTTTGTGAATAATAAATTCGAAAAATACTAGAACAAAACTGCAAATTAAAATAACGCTTAAAAAGATAAGTTTTAAGGTTGCTCTTAAAAGATGTGAAATTTAAACTACATATTATATGCTCTGGAAGATTATTCCAAAGTTTAGGGGCGCAGATCGAAAAAGCACGATCACCATAAAATTTTAACCTCGATCTAGGTGATACTAACACCTAGATTGTTACTAACTGTGACAATTTTTAAGTTGACAACTTTGATCACTTTCCACGTTCATTTTCGCAAGTACAAAGAAATTTACTGCTTATCATTTACAGCAAGCCGCTGCAAGTTTCATTACACGCGAGAGAAGCAAAAGTGCCATTCGTCGCTAAAATAACCTACTCCATATTTTATTTTACTTTAATGAAGTTTCATTCATCTTCATTCGCGTGCAAAGATACAGAGTTACGGGAAGTCCCCCTGAGTCAATGTTTTTCTTCATAATGATAAAATTTTTCGGTTAAGGAACAAGAGCAGAAAGATTAGAAAATTTGTCTATGTACGTATTCTCTCATGTATCCCCATGTCATCTACCTTGTACTGCTGATGCTAAAAAACTGTTAAATAAAAGGACGTTTAAGTTTAACTGTCATGAAAGAATTCGTCAAAGTATAGGAAATGTAAAATATCGTGCAAGTCGATATTTAACATTGTTTACTAGCCCAGTAAATCCAAATGGAAACAAACAAATCGGATGTAATAGTACAAAATATGCTAAAGTATATTTCATGAGAACCACTCCAACAACCCCATAAAAGTTATAGTTCATCTGGTAATAATCTCTGGTAGTGACTTTTTGTCATCGCACTAGCACTTGGGGCTGTTCATAATCAAAAGCAGGAGCCCATTCCCCGAGCTTCCATCTTCCATACTTACCTTCTGAGTCAACCCTGTCCCGTATCTTTTTAATTTTTAGAATTAAGCACCTCCCACAGGGTTTTCGCGGGTGTTTACATAATAACCAATCATAAGAAAGCTGTGGTCCTCTATTGTTACGTCAAATGTAGGCCGTGCGAAAGTATTTCAATAATTGCAAAAAGCGCGGAAAGTTTATGGGAACGTCAACTTGTTTTCGCGGGAAATTAATGAACCCCAACATATCTCAGTTCTAAAAATAAAAAGATACGGGACAGGGTTGACTCAAGGGTACAATTGGTATAGGGGCACCGGTATCTGTATACATATGTGAGAAACCTGCATCTCTGGCATACCAAGGGAAGAAAACAGTTACAGGATACACCAATAATTGCATAAAAAAACCTAGGCAAATGCAAGCACAAAAAACAGAGTTTATTTCCAACGGAAAGCCCGGGTGAACGCAAATATGCGTCTAGTCATAAAAATAAAAAATGACTTAAAGACCAGTATCATCACCAACGCCTCTGCTGGTGAAAACAATTAAATCGAGTTTGAAATTTGTACTTCAAATAAATGAGACAATCACGTCTATTATGCTATTTCCCACATTTTATTTTTCAAGCACTAACAGCAATTTTAAAGTTGAATCAAAAGTGACAGAAAGTTTAGTCAATTCAACTCTTCCTTTTTCACAACTTTTGATTACAAAGAGCACTTTTTCAGAATTTAAAACCCTTGATTAAAGTCTTACAATCGCAGCTGAAATGATTGAAGCAAGTTGAAAAATAATCTCGGTTAAAAAATCTGCACTCGAGCCATCAGGAGACAAAACGGCTGAGTTAAGGCTTTGAGTCTGCAAGACTGATCAGTATGTAAAAATGCCAATTGTAATGTTAGCTTATTTCGTTCGCAAGTGCATCTACAAAGCAGTAAATCAAAAAGTTTCACATCCATCGCTTGGTTTTGTTTTCCCTTTAAGTTTTGCACCAATTTACTGTTCCTCAAAGGTGAGAGGGTAAGTAACAAGACGTTTGTTGTCCCAAGCGTACAGCACTCTTTCCCTGGGGTTGTAGTCCACCATGGAGTTGTAACCATACTGGTTTGTGAACAGTATGTTGGGAATCCACTGTTTCCCTGTCTTGGTGTCATAAGCAAAATTGATGGTAGTGGTTTTGCTGCTGTATTCGTTGATACAGTAAATCACTCCACAGGCCACAAAAGCATTTCCCATATAGGACATCCTCTCTGCGCGGGGAAAAGAAGAGTCAAAATTAAATGCAAAATCGACAAAATTCATTTGGCAAAGATGCGCATTGGCTTAATATGTTACTTTATTTCCTGACTTGTGGAAAAAATACTTCTTTTGTTTGTGATAAGATACCATAGCTCAGGTGATTGTAAAGCCAACTAGGAAGGCAATGGTTCGAGTTCTGTCAAGGCTTGAATTACTTTAAGCTTCCTTATCTACAGTTTCTTTACAGTTTCTTTCTACTTGCACCTCGTCTGTGAGGATAATTTCTTTTTTTCATCATTTATTGGTCATTTTAAGATTTATTTCATTTATTTGTGTCTTTTGTGCTCAAGTAGACTAAGGGCCTTTTTTTAAGTAAGTGTTCTTAATTCAGTTGCTACTCTATGCTTGGAGTAGGTTTAGTCATTCTGTCGCTTATTCCTTAATCGCCCTTAACTGAGATCTACGTAAAATATCCCCACCTCATTAACTCGTTCTCTTTTATTTTACAGTTTCGTCTCCGTTCACATAGCTTCATGTTGCATACTTACCTGTACTCAAGCTCCAGGTGTGGGTGACTGCGTTTTTACGCACATCTATTTTTGATGCGCGCAAACGATAGCTGTTTCCATTATCTCCCCAAAGAACCCACAGTCCTTGCTCGTCAACTGCTAAGTCCATTCCAGTATATCCGCCCCATCGATAGTGGTTCTTTCGCGCTGAAAAGCCGCTAACAGTAATTTGAGCCTCCATACGCTCTGTGAGAAGATTGTACTTGATAATATAAGCTGAATTGGCTCTGTAATCAAAAGATAAATAACAAATGATTCATCAGATGGGACTAATTTCTGCTTAAATTCTCATACTGCTGAATGTTTCAATTTTCGTGAAAAACAAAACAAAAATTTATCTTTCAAACACGTGTTTCGAATCTATCTATCTGTAAAACAAGTCAGAAGTCTCTTTTTTTAATAGTAAGTTAGATAAAGCTGGAAACCAAAAAATATTTCACCTGTTGTAGTAGAGGTATGGTCCGTACACTACTGCTCCAGTTCCATCAAAGTAATAAGGCAGAGAATAAGTCTTGTGAACCACACCAGCCTTGAACTTTTCCATGTTCTCAAACGCTTGGATAACATTTGCGTAATAATTTTCCATGGTAAATATGGTCTCAGCACCCATGATTCCTAGTGGGTCTTTCATCCAAGCTCCTTGTGTATAAGACCGAGTGCTGTGAGTGATAGGTTTTCCAACAGATTTGATGTTTGTGCACCTGTCTGAAGAAGTTTCAGTCAAAGTTAAAGTCGATTATCATTTGATCAGATTTTCCTTCTTTTCAAAGACATATTTGATTGGAAAGCATTCTGATTACCTACACTTATGTCAGTTCATAATGCAGCATCAGTGTTGTTTTTTTCTCTAACTGAATACTTTTCTTAGCACATTTTGCGACATTTGCGATTTTCTACAGTTCCATGTCAATTACAGCTTCCGCTTCTTGAGTATTAAGCCAACCGCCTAAACTGAGCCTGTTCTTGGATTTTACAGGGTAAAATTATTTTTTAATGCATTTTTGGCAAACTAGACCGTTTTTTTGGCACGTCTAAGTAACATTTGTGATATTTTGCGTTAATTTTGGCTGGTTGGAACCTTCCTTGACCCTTCTGCACACATTTGTTGATTTAGACACTCGTCTAGACAACTTTATACTGTTTCTGCAATCTGGCACTATTTCTTTAATTTTCGTTTATTTTTCTAACATTCAACTCTTGCGTATATTTTTTTTCATATTTTTCCATTTGCGAACTTCTGCGATTTTCATGATTTT